TTGGTCCAACGACATGAAGGCTTCCCTAGCAACATGAGGGGGAAGAGTAGGAGGCGCCATGTTAGTTTTCCTAGTGGCTAGTGTATTATTAGAACTTTGAAAAATTAGAGAAGTTTTTTTTAATTTATTTGTTAGATGAAATTATGTTGTTGAAATATAACAAGCTACCTTGGATGCATGGCCTTTAAATAGGCAATTAGAGAATCTAGTAATCTACGATATGTTGTGACCAATAATAGTGGTTATATTGCTATATTGCCTATATATATTCCATGTTGATAACTTTTTATATGATTTGAGGGGATAATTAATATACTTTGTACAAAGAATTAAGTTATTACAAGTTCGTTCCATTATTGTAATACATCTCAATTATATATTGTGGTATATATACCTTCTCAACCTTTTATTTAGGTATTAAGTTATTACAAGTTCGTTCACATTGTAATACATGCATCTCAATTTTATATAATGGTATAGATACCTTCTCAACTTTTTATTTAGGTGTTAAGTTATTACAAGTTCAATTTGTTCACATTGTAAATTTGAAATACATCTCAATTTTATATTATGGTATAAATACCTTCTCATCCTTTAAGTATTTAAGTTAATACTTAATACAAGTTTGTGTACATTGTCATGGATACATGCCAACTACTTTAGGGGATAAACTTTATAATAAGAACTTTAGATAGATTAATTCTAATCTATGTCAATATATACACGTACTGCATTTGTAATAAGGTTTTCGGGTTGATTATATTATTTTAAATATTTTTTTATTTATTTTAGATTTGATATGACTCGGTCATTCTAATTATCTTCTTGTTTTGACTGGCCTTTGATTATATTTGTATGCTTATAAATAAGCTTTAAAAAAAAAAAAAAAAAAAATAAACATTTTCAAGTATGATTTTATTCATTCGTTTCATCTAATGTGCATTTTTTAATATTTAATTTTTTATGATTTTTATATTTATACAAAGTATATGGTATTTGTAATAAGCAAACTCAAATACAATTATACAAAGGCCCTGTTTGGGAGAAAGCTGAAAGCTGAAAGCTGAAGCTGATTGAGTTAGCTGATTTTGACTAGCTGATTTTATTAACTGATTTGACTAACTTATTGTATTAACTGATTATATAAAAGTGTTTGGTAAATAGCTGATAGCTTAAAGGTGATTGAGTATGTGAAATGACCAATAAGCTAATTGTGGGGTAGGTAGTTTAGATAGGATTTAAAATTAAATGAGGTTATAAGTGTAATTTCACAATAATTAATGAATAAGCTAATTGAAAAAGCTCCTAAAATGAGCTTTTTTAAAAAGAGCTTATTTAGTGGAATAAGCTCTTTCAATAAGCTTAGTACCAAACACTTGTATTAGCTTGTTTGACTAGTCAATCAGCTAAAGTTAGTCAAATAAGCTAATATACCCCCAATAAACTAACTACCAAACAGGGCCAAAGATTTATTTTAGTCTGGTATATATTTCTTTTATGGTCTGATATCAATAACAATAATGTAATGAGATAAAGTGAAAAAAAAAAAGTATATCTTATCCTTTGTTGCATTCTTTCTCCGATTTGTAAAAAATCAATTCCAATATTCTTTGAATGCGCAAAAAAAAGCTATGTTACCTTAATTCTTATTTGTTTGATTTTAATAACTTTTTTCTTTTGCATGAATCTCTCCCCCTTCATATCTATGAATAGTTAAAGTCTAAAGAAATGAAAAGAACGAAACAAGAAAGGGAACATTTTGAGATCTCAAGTGGGAAGGAAGAGTTAAGGACAAGCTAATTAGATAAAAATACACTTCTATCAATTATTTTCGAAGTACGAAGTGTAAAGTTTTGTTATTGAAAAATATTCCTAGTTTGTATAATTGAAAGATATGTGGAGAAAAGATCTTCCAAGAGAATAACACAATTTTTTTTTTTCCAAGATACGATTTTTTTTTCTTTGAAAGCTCCAAGACACTGATCTTATCGACAACTTTCTACTAGCTAGTAAAATTTAGGATATCTTAGCATGATCATGCATCTAGAAGACTAGAACCCTTTTAAATTTCTTAGATTTCTATGTTATATTATATACTTGTATTATACTTCCTCTATTTCATTTTACTTCAAAAATAGCGCGTGTCATAATTTTTTTTTTTTGAAAAATAAATAATGATGCTTACTAATTTTTCTTTTTTTACTATGTATTTGTATCAATTGTTTGCACAATTATCACCTCATAAATTTGAGTAACAATTGTTAAAGGACCAGGCCAACTCAGATGATTATTGAAGCTTATTAAGTTCAGTTTTTATACTTAACAATATCTTCAACTATGATATGCATATATGTCGATATTTAAAAAACTATACATTGAGATGAATCAAAACATGATATCACATATAACTTTCCTGGCCTCTAATGAAATATTTAAAATGGAACTAAATTTATTGATATATAATATCAATAAATTAGTTCCATCCTACCGTACTAATGAAGAAATATAATACCGTAGTACTTATAGTTCAATTCTTCGTGATTCATATACACTAATCTGTTAAGGAAAAAAATAGCTTGTATTGTGTACTGTTGGCCACACCATGTGATTGGTTGTAAAAGAACAAAGTAACCCCTATAACACTGACGTATATATAACCCTGTAACACTGATCAAGTAACTTCTATAACACGGACAAAGTAACCCCAGTAACATTGATTGAGTAACCCATATAATACTGACCGAATAACACTATTATGGCTGGCCACACAGTATGATCAGCCACTTATGAAAATTATTGAAAAAAAACCCTTGCAAAATTACGATGAGGAATTTTGTAAATTTTATCTTTACAGTTTACAGAAAAACAAATGTGTGGGTTTAGGGTATTTATTTCGTTGGACCGTATCACACGTACTATTCTTAGTGTAGGGCCCAATGGACCGTTGGTGCCTTGATAGTGTTTGGAATTGAATTGACGTTTTCAGACTTCAAACATTAGTGCTTGACTGCTTGATTTAACCACTTTAGCTTCATTAATTGATTAAGAATTAAATTGATTAAGAATTAACAATACAAGTGATACATAAGCTAACTTCTAAACCACAGAAGCCATACGCTATGTATGATACGGCTATGGTACGGTATACATATAATCATACATTGAAGAGGTTACTAGCTCTATTTGTCCACCAAAGTGTACAAAAATGTAATATTCCATGCTTTAATCGAGTAGTGAATGATCCGATGATGCAATACATTTGAATCAAAATGGACCACTGACCAAACAATTATCACTTGATATAGAATGCGAATAATGGTACGGAGTAATCAACATTGATCCACCGTCATGTACGTAAAATACAAGTTAAAAGAGACACATTAAGACAAACAACATATCGACTGAGTTGTTAACACAAACACACCTAAAAGAGATACAAGTATAATTCAATATGGCACTTTTAAGGAGCTAATCCATCCTAGTTAACATTGATTTCCTTGCACGATGTTCACATATCATGAAACCACCGTATTTCTGAGCTGCTTGAAAAGTGTCCATGGTATTTTCTCTTCGAGGAAAGACTTGATAATTTTGGTAATCATAGAGAAATTGGTAGTTTTTACGACGATGAATTTGGTTCCTTAGCCTTTGTCCTCTCTGCTCTTCAAATTGCTCCAGGAGCATAAATGCTTCACTGCCAATTTTCTTAATGTTGGTAGAAGTTGTCATGATTTTAATTTCTTTTAGTAAGCTTACTAGTACGTATAGTGAATGTGAATTGGTGGTGATGGTGGTTGGAACTCTTTATGAATGAATGAAAGGATGATACATCTTTAGTCCCATGACTCTTTATAAATAAGAGTAAGAAAAAAATAATTAATCTAATGTTGATAATATGTAAAATATGCTAGAATTTTTTAAGGGAGTCTTCTTTTTAATTAACAAGGATTAATTAGTATTTTTTATAAAGCACTTACTTTTTAGGTAGAAGAATTAGTTCCCAACATTCTCTTCCTATTACTTGCTAGCTAATTCAATTCACCTACTCAAGGCTTAAGAAGTAATTAGATTTATGTTGTAGGTGGTTTGGCATTGCATTATATTCTCTAGGTTCGCTTTTGAAGTAATTAGATTTATTTATGTTGTAGGTGGTTGGCGTTACATTATATTCTCTAGGCTAGCTTTTGAGAAAGTGTTGTAACCAAGATGGAAAGTTCTTGTTGAAAATTTGAACATATTGTTGAATCATTCAATGGAAGTGTGAACAATCTTAATACTTCAGAAGAATCACTTGTTGTGACATTAAACTTTGATAGTTCAAAAACAAAAATAAATTCATTTTGTTTATAGATACTCACACCAAATGTGTTTGCGCACAGAGATAACTATTGATCATTCGATTTATTTTTATTTAGATAATGTCAATTCAGGTCATGCCATTTTGAGTTGATTTTGGGTTTGAATACGTTTGGATGGAGTCAAGTCATTCTCTATTCTATTGCCAATATGCATATTTTGATAAAATAATCGTTACTATCAACATCGGTTATCAAGTCCGTTCGGGTTAGCTCAAATTGGATCAAGTGATTTCTACTAGAGTTTGGTTTTCAAATCGAATATTTCGAGTCAACATATCAGATACAAGTCAGTTTTATCAAATGTACGTGTGCACATTATATGCATAAGAAGACCTGTAAACAGTAAAATGACCTGAAACGAACTAATCAATACGCCAATGATGTACTCCATAATTAGCCGAGACAATGAAATAATAGCCGTCCCATTCCAAAAAATCAACCGTTGCAATCACTAAAATAACGAAAGACACAAATGTTCCAAGTACCTACGAGTATTTAGAAACGGGCGGAAATAAATAATGAGGGTTAAATGCTGGCTTAAATATGTTGAATGGGTGACCAAGATTTTGGGACCACAATATAGTGATATACCCAAAATTGAAGATATGATACGTAAATAAGCAAATACTTTTGATAGATGAATTATGTGAAATCAAGAAGTCCAAATGGCATGACCCTGAATTAACTCAACCAAGGCCCAACTTACTCAACACACAAAACATTCTAGACTTCTCTTTTCACTTTCTCTCTCCTCCTCTTCATTCGTCTTCTCACCTCCACTACTCGATTTTATCACGCCGGTGTTTGCCGTATTCCGACGGAATCCCGGCGAGTTTGTGACATCCGACCACCTCTTTTTCCGGCGGACGGTTGCAACGCAAGTTACTAGATTTTTCTTCTTCTAATTATTATCATTCTTCCTAATTCTTATCAAAGGTAATTAACTTTTCATCTATGTTAATTTTTTATTTTATTTTATTATTATTAGATTAGGTATTTTATTGATTTTTTGGTTTTAGGTTGTTGATTTCTAAAATTAATGTTTATTATATGCTCAAATTAGTTGGAGTTCTTTATTAATTTTGAGTAATTAATTAATGTAAGTTTTGTGATTTATGTTGTGTTTATCACATTATGTAGTATGATGTACTTCGTACTGTTTTCTGTAAATTGAAAATAAAGAAATGAATAATAATCACTAGAGAAAATACTGAACATAATTTTTTTTTTCCTACTTTATTTAACTTTACCTTTTGAGAAATATAGAAAGCCATTGCCTTTTGGCAAATGGTAAAAATAAATGTTTGGTATCGGGTCGTAAATGTCGGTAATGCGAATGAATTCGAGTGTAGATTTTGAAAGGATTGATTATTTTATGATTGAGTAACTCGGTTGGTTAGAGTTTCCCTCACGGTTCCCGGAATCCTGAGATCGACACTCATCACCTGCCCTTGTGGCGTTAGTGGTAAGGAGCTTATCAATGTATATTATAGAGTAATAGACGGATTTATCAAGAAGCCTTATTCTTATGTTATACAGTGAATTACCATTACACTGTATTCAGATAGCGAATTCGAAGATTGTAAACTGTCTTGCTAAGTGAAAATCTTGCCGGAGTGTGCATTGAATTTTAAGACATTATGCTTATTGCTTATATGTTGATGTATTGGTGGTTTTGTTAAATTTTTGGTAGATCATGGGCTTAATGTCTATGTAGTTTAGGAGTATTACGCAATCAGGCATAATGTCACTATGATTTCCCCGTTCCTTCAACCTAGCAGTCACCAATGGAACAAAAATAACTCAATTTTATCTCTACTTTTCAATGTGAACACCCTGGACAATCATGCTTTATTCCTTTCCTTTATACTTGTTTTTCTTTCTGAATTTGTTTTTTTTTCCAGCTCAAATCAAAGGGCACTTGAGTATAGACGGAACTTAAACAATTTTTTCAACTGATCGCTCAGATGGGGGATCAAACAAAGCAATCAGAGACAACAATTGAAGAGGAAGTGGGGAGAGTGGTGGAGCAAGCAAAGGAATTGCAAGAAGCGGCAGCATCATTCATTTCGACGTCATCGAGGGAAGAGAAAGAACTTCGACAACGTGCTCGTTCACTCGATGAGTCCATTGCGAAGCTTCGTTCCTCCATCAGTTCTCTCACAAATAGCATGGATCCCAGGCTAGTTGAGAAGGTTATACATCAATATCTTTAGAGTTGAATTGATTTGGTATTCTTGTTGTTTGTTGATGTAATTAATAAATTTTCTTTGGTGCAGCTTGAGGATGAATTGAATAGAGCAAACTGTATCCTGGTTGATGGAGATGCTTCATCTTTCCTTCCTGGCAAAGTTGAGAGTGTGTGTCATTTTGTTCTCTCACTTTGATTCTATATTCTTTGCTTATTGTGGTGAATAATTATGAGATTTTCTTGTTGATAGGTTGGTTTTTAAAGAGGTTTCTTGGTCCTATTAATGTGCGAGCTATCAGGAAGGATGTCCAGTTGAAAGTCAAAGAGGAGTACAATAGTTACAAAGTAAGTTCTACACACGCACACACACACACTGCATTGTTGTTTTGAATACCGAGAGCTAAATTTGTTACCCTTTAAAAGGCTGAAAAAGGTGCATGAAACAATGGACAATCTAATTTGAATTATAAAAAAAAGAAAATTTAGAAAAATGAGGTCAGAGGGGAGGAAGGTTGTGAGTGTTATGTATTTCACTGGAGTACCAAAATTTTCTACTCCGTATTTTTATTTTTATGTAGTGGTTGCTCTACCTGCGATAACCTCTTTTTACTTATTTTTAGCTGTACTTGCATGATTATTAATCTTTGAATGTGATTTGGCTGTTTACTTCATTTTGTTGGCGACGTGTGTCTATTAAAATAAAAAATGGTTTTGAAATGGATTTTAAGTTAGTTCTTGCTACTTGCTAGGAGGGTTTGCTTACATGGTTGGTGAGGGGTGTAAGAAAAGATGGAAGAGATAGAGAAATTGGATTAACAACTTTTGGTTTCTAGATGTCTAATGTCATTTGCATCACATCATTTGAACTTCTTTAGCTTTGATGATCACCCTAAATTGCCACTCATAGTTTGTTAAGTAGACAATAAGTTGCTAATGTATTCTCTTGTTTTAGCAATTTAAATTTACAAGCCAATGGTCTACGTTTACATTTGATGTTTTATCACTTTTTCTCCCTTTCTAAGAAAAAAAAGACAACTGTTACATCTGTGTTTGATTTTGATGCTTTATTTATTTATATTTAATTTTATTATTATTTTTTAATACTGTGGTACTGGACTGGATCCATATTGAGCTTATGTTTATCCAAAAAAAAAAAAAAACATAGTTTTTCTCCTTTTTATGTTTAAAATTGTTAATTTTTCTATGGTTATATATCTATGCATTTTATTTATCTATTTAAAATAAAAAATCCATTTCTGTATTGTTATTTCTATGTACATGATTGTGCTAAGTGGGGCTATATACAACTTGGTGGGAAGAGACATATCCTACTTTATGGTTGGTGGCAGTGAAAGTGTGAAACTAGTGAATGATGATGAGATCATGAGATTGTCTTAGTGTTGCAAAATCTTAAATTATCTTTTTGTTTGAAATGGATAGCTAAGGACCAAAGAACATACAATAGTGTTGGTCTAAGGGAAGTTTTCATAATAAAGTAATTATACAAATCTGTACTAACATAGTGTTAACCCAATTTTGCGAAGATGTTCCTACCTTGGTCAGGGTTGTGGACCTCACATGTGCATAATCTGGTTTTTACAATTGCATGAGTAATAAATAGTCAAAAGGTCTCAAGTGAGAGTTTTACTTTTGTGTGTTGTGTTGCAATAAAAATTACTTCGTTTCATGTTGTATAATGTGTTGCATCTATGAATCCCATTCTGCTAATGGATAGCTATATTTATGTGTAAAGTGCATCCATTTATTGTCCTTTTGTCTTCTCAAACATTCCTTTTTATTTATATATTTATTTTTTAAATATTTTATTTATCTAAAGATCTTTTGGGGTATAGTTTAATAATTATTGTACACTTTGTTTGAGCAGGATAGAACTGCCTACTTGTTTCTTCTTTTTCCATCTATACTACTGATTCTTAGATCTTGGATGTGGGATGGCTGCATGCCTGCTTTTCCAGTTCAACTCTATCAGGTACAGGCTACATTCAGCTACTTAGCTCAGTTTTATTTCATAGTTTGCTTAATTTTATTTATGCTCTTTTTGTACTTTGTCAGGCCTGGCTTTTATTCCTTTACACAGGCTTGGCTTTGAGAGAGAATATCTTGAGAGTGAACGGGAGTGATATTCGTCCATGGTAATTGCCTTTTCTTCTTTCAAGTCTTGCTGATTTATTTTCCTTTGCTGGGGCCTTCCAGTTCAAGTTAACTCTTTAAATTGTGCATGAGTTGATTGTGTATTGCTGGCTTGCTTGTTTTGTATAGTATAGAAATTTGAGTTTTTGAGCTTTTAGTTAGTCATTTTCCTCAAAGTTTCTGTTTCTGTTCCTTTTAGCTCTCTAAATCTCTAATGAGATTGTCTTGCTTGAGTTGGATGCTGCTTTAATGGATTTATTTGTATCAGTTCATGGTGCTCTTATAGTCAAAACTTCCTAATGGGATGAGGTTAAATTTGATCATTAGCTTAGATTGTATCTTAGAAATAGTGCTAGTTAAGCTTTTTTCATTTTTTCTCTTTTTTTGGCTCCTTCTTCCACTTTTTCTCAGAGAGAGCTTTACTGGCTACCTTTATGCACCTAAGATTGATATAATCAGCTCCCATTTTAGCTATTTGAGGGAAGCCAAGTGACAATAGATATGTTGAAATGCTATGTTATGTTTTTATGATTTGTCTCTTGGTCATATATTCTTTGCTCTTTACAATTTCCTTTCCTCGGCTATAAGGAATGTTTGTCACCTTGATAGATGTGATATATCTTTACATAAATTCATGTTGCTTATTTTTTATTTCAATGGTAAAAATTTCAGCTTGTTTCCTTTTTGCGACTGCTCTAAAAGAAATGACTATCGACAATTACTTGTGAAAAAGAAGGGGTATACATATATATATAAGTCAAACTACGAACTGAAAAAGAAGGGGTGTATATATATAACTGCTGTTTTAATGTAGTGATAGATTACAAGAAATCAAACTACATATTTAAACTAAAATCTTAGCGAAAGCCTATAAACCTATCTATTCAATTAACAAATTGTGATATTTGGCTATTGCGCATGCTAAAGGATTATTTCCCCAAAAATTTGGCGGTAATCAATGTCAACTGTATACTGATATACCAGTGATGAATTGGTTTCTGTTGTTGGGAATTGCAAGTCTATGGATTCAAGCCACCTATGGGCTGCAGCGAGTGTATTCTTGATAATTATTGAAAGTGATATATGTAGTGAAAGGTGACACTAGTGGTTTTTAAAATTGCAATTGATCACTTGGGGAAATAGAAATTGGCGAGGATAGAACTTTAGAAGGTGGAGAGTGAGAAAGGGAGAAAACAGGGAATTTAGTAGGTCTATGGGTTTATTTACCAGAAAGCCATTATTGACACATTGTTGTATGCGGGTTATTTGATGACTGGGAATTGATTTTGCTTATTTTGAACTGTGTATCAACTAGGTGGGTGTGATCAGCTTTGTATCTTACTTTGAATATCTAATATCTTTATGAGGATAAATAATCAATCCTTATCTTTTGGTCTTTTAAGAGTCTAGTTGAAATGGAAGTTTTTTAGGCTGTGTGATATCCAAGCATCTGATGTTATTTGTTGGCCCTTTGTAGTTATTAGCTGCTGCATTGCCCTTTTAAAGATTATTCATTGACGGTAAATCATGGATTAGTTGTTTTGTATATCTTACATCCAACTATCCAAGTAATGTAGATAGATTTTAGACCTTAAATCTGTCTTGTTTGTTAATGTGGACTGGTGGCTTTCCCTGATCCTCCGCCCCCCCCCCCCCCCTACCCAATTAATACATAGGGTGTTATTAGACCAATGATGAGAACAAGAGGCAATATTTGCACCGTATATGCCAGCAGTATATGAGATTCATTCAGCAAAATTATAAGGCCTGAAGACCATTTTAAAGAGTGGTTAAATACTTAAATGTAACTGAACTAATTTCTAATTGGCCAACTTTCTGATGCTACCTAGGCATTTAACAGTCTAATCTTGCAAGTTGTTATAAAACTTTTTTTTACAAATATATATATAATTATCTAAATCTCTCTTTCCAATAACTCTGGGAAGATCCGGGGAACACTTTAAATTGAACAACCCTTGAATAATATCGAAGCACCAAAGCCAAAATGCAAGTATAAGATCTGATGGAGCTACTTAAATCATTTTCTTGATTTATTCTTCTATATCCTAACCAAGTACACTAAACTGCTCAGCAATCTATGACTTGAAAGAAATTACGTAAAGGATTTGCTAGGGAGCTTGCTGTGCTGTGAAAATCAATTAATACTTTGATTTATATGTACAAGGGAGTCTTTGGCTCATATCAGCAGTAAAATCACAAATTTTATAATTTTTTTTACGGTGATTCTCTGTTCACTGGTAGCATTTTTCCGTTATTTCTATTTGCATTGTCCTTTAATATTCCATTTCCCCCCTCCAAGAATCCAAAGGAAAGGGGCCTTCTCTTTGTGTTCCATTAGCTTTGCAAAGTTCATTATAAGGTAAATGGATTTAAAAGATGACTCTAGTAACCTTGTTTTAATTTTGCAGGTGGATATATCATCATTATTGTGCAATGGTGATGGCCCTTGTGAGCCTTACATGGGAAATTAAAGGCCAACCTGATTGTGCACAGAAGCAGGTCAGTCTTCTTAGGGTGCTTCATGGTTTTATATATACTTTTTTTGATGGACCATGTTATTCCATTCTTTAACAGATGCTTAAGTGATGAAATTCACATCTCATCTGTAACAGAATGATTTGATCTGCTACATCAGTGGATATTCAACTGCATATTCTAACGTTCTTCACTGTTAAGGTCTATCAGAAGCAATGCTTTTGAAGGAAAAGAAAAAAATTTAGAGAAAAGAATGCAATTGAGAATCTCAACTTGAATACTCAAGAATTTGATTGGAGATATTTGTTTTTGTAACTTCGTCTATGGAACTTGAATATCTCATTTTTACATGCTTTACACCAACAAGACTTAAAATGTTTCCTCCATGGTCTATTTGATAAGCCTAATGTGACAGCTTGATTCTGATTCATGTATATGGTATATTTGATATTGCAACTTGAGATCCTGCTGTGGTGTATTTGTTGCTGTATATTTAACTACTTGATTTTTAACAAATTTCCCCAACTTTTTTTTTTATTTTTTTATTTTACAGTATTATAGAGTTTCCCAAAAACTGCAGACCAGTGGGAGAGAGTTGAGTGCAGAATAATGTATTTTTCTATCATGTTGATAATGTAATTTGAACTAGCAATTTTATAAATCTATCTTTGATGATAGAGTTATAAAATGAAAATTCTTTTCCATTTCTGTTTTTTTACAAAATGAAAATTCTTTTCCATTTCTGTGTTACATAGTTTCAAACTATTAGGTGTCCTGATAAGAGTGATGTTAGCTTTACCAAACACAAGTGAATCTTTATGGCAAACTTATGAGCAGGCCGTGAGTCAATGAACTATTAATTTTATTGACTTCTGCATGGGATGTTTTATGTTTACATACATGAATTTGTATAGAATCTGCTATTAGTTTGCTGAACTTGTTGGACCTTAGAGGGACAGGGGACTCCCCCTTTGGTACCTTTTCCCTAAGAACAATGCATTGCATTTCAAGGACATGTATGAATTAAATCTGTTTGTTTTCCCTGGAACTGTTATGTGTCTTTTTGAATACATTTGGAGCTGTATAATTTGAAGGGAACTATATTAGCTGTATCGCATCCTTATTGATGATGATCTATTCTCTCTCGCAGAAAGTGGAGTATAGATATGTGTGTCGAGGGGCTTGGTCGTTATTGCAACCTATAGCTTTTAACTTGATTATTTCTTGTTTGTTTTCTAACTCATGGTCAATGTCATCCAGAGAGGGGTAAAACTTTTTCTACAATGGGCCATGATGCAAGGAGTTGCAATGTTATTGCAAAACCGATATCAACGGCAGAGGTTGTACACTCGTATTGCACTTGGAAAGGTATGTGTTTTTATTTATTTATTTTTTTAATTTTTTTTATTGATAGTATTCCCTGAATTCGCTTGAATATGTGAAGTTGGATGTTCAGGAATTTGTTAGTAGCATGAAGCTTGGACACCCATTCCATTAAGACTTTATTGGCTGCATGTTATATTGTGTCTAGGCTCCATGGATACCTAGGAACAGGCGCATGTATTAGGTGTGCAGCCTCAATCATCCTACTTTAATTGCAATTACATAAGGTGTTTGTTTCAAAGATGTTCCAGCTAACGTGCCACTGTAGTAAAGATTGACGAGAAGTGTGATAAATGACAATTGGTGTAATGAAATCATTGCAACTAAAGAGCCAATCTTAGCATACACCATAGAGCTCCCAGTAAGGCTTATACTATGCTTCTGATGTAATGTTATTCACGTAGTTCATAGGCTTCATCCTTCATCACTTTTCACATATTAGACTGATTTTCTGATCACATAATCTATATCTCTTCTGTGTGTAGTCATAAAAAAAATAAAAAATAAAAAATAAAAATAAAAGGGGCTTGTGGTCCATGGTCAATTGATCATAATAATGGTTTAGGGTTCATGGGAGGGACATCTCATAGCTCTTATGTTCTGCGTCATGGCTGTCGTAGGTTTACAGCTTGAATTGATGAATTGGAATAACCTGGCTTATATTGTGCTAGAGATTAGTATGAAAACAGCAAGTTAGTAAGCTAGAAGAGATAGAAACAATGGCAGCCAAGGGAATGATAGTAGTATTATTAAACAGAGTGTTCAACAATACAAGCCTTTTTTCGAGAGGAAAGACCTCTCCCAAAACAAACTTCTTAATTAATCTCCTGATGCATTCCCCCTAACCCAATCACCTATTAATACCCCAAAATTAAGCCATAAAACAAACTTAAATACAGCTAATGCATGGCAGAATTGGCAGCCAAAATAACAATCTCATAACAAACTTTTCTATAGATTACTGTTTTACCCTCTTCCCCAAAACTGATTCTAACAACCTTCCAACTCAGCATTCTTCTGGCTAATTCTTGGGCCTTCTAGCATAAGTGAAGCGGATATCGGGTTTAGGCTGAATCCTTGCATATTGTACTTCAACCATTCAGTTACGGGATAAATTATTAAGTTTACTCTTGAGCATGCCTCAACGCCTAATATGGTTAATTGGTTATCATTTTATGCAGCAATGAGTAGTTTTGTGAGTTGTGACGTGTCAATAATCTGAGACTAAATTATGAATTTCACTAGTAACAATGGGATATATCAATGATGTCTTAAGAAAATAATATAACTGAAATTCCTATGGGATTTCTACGAGTGGAGTGGTGGACTGCTATAATGTTCACTAGATTTGGGGGGGGGGGGGTGGGGGGGTGGGGGCCTGTGTCTAGCAATCTTTTAGTATCCCATTGTTAGGCTTGGGGGACTTGTTTTAGCTGTCACCTCTCTCTCTCTCTCTCTCTCTATGGTGTAGTAGTCTTACACTGTTACCTTCTGACATATTTCAGGCAAAGAGAATGGATATTGTGTGGGGAGAAACGGCAGGAGAGCATGGCCAGCTTTGGTTGCTTTGCCCTATACTTTTTATTTTGCAGGTAATTGGAATGTTACTGTTTTTGAGAGATTTTTTATAATTATATTTGTAAATTGCTGCATGTTGTATGACTTGTATCAACTATCAGGGATAAAGATTAAAAACTGCCTGAATGTAATAAAATTAAAAGGATAAATATTATGTAGTATAAAATAAAAGCTTCAAATTTCATTTGGTGTTACAGTGCTTAGTTTTCTGAACACGGTGACATGGTTAGGCTTTTACTTTGCAAATATTGGGTGATTTAAGTAGGGAAGATTTTTTTTTTTTTTTTTTTTTTTTTTTTTTTTTTGTGTGTGTGTGTGTGTGTGTGTGTGTTGGGGGGGGGGGGGGGAACAGGGGATCATGAACTATAGCTATAGAGGGAAAGATACCATAACAATTGCTCCAATGAATTGTTTCGTTGGAATCCATTAGTCCATAACTCCATATGTAGCTTTGGGAAATTATTTTCTCTGCTTACCAAACTCATCATCAATCAAAGCCTTAATCCAGACTAATGACTTATATTTTAGCTCCCACTCTCTCCACTACCTCCAGGCTCCAACATTCTATTGCCAAAAACTCCAACTCCACCCTAATCCGGATAGAGAACAGCATGGCAATCATGCTTTCTCCTCCTTTATCAGACATAGCATTCAGAGAAAAAATTCTTCTAAAAATAAAAAATAACTAAATAAAAATCAAGAATTTAAATAATGATACATTGGTATTATAGTTGATAAGGAGTCCTCTGTAGGATATTGATCTCTCAATGTCAATGGCTGGTATCTGTCTTGTGAAAGTGTGATAAATTGAAGGATGTCATTCCTTGGTGCTGGTTTTGCCTGTCATCTTGTTGTTGGGGAAGTGGGAGTTAATTTCAGTTGCGAGGATCATAAAATTTTACAAAAGTTGTGATGTTTTGTTCATACAGCTACTTTTTAACCCTTGAATTACTGGTGCCATGTTTGTAACGCAGTTTTTGAGTGTGGGAAAAATTATCTTTATTTGGGATTTTTAAAGTGCGAGGGATATATTGTTTGCTTTATTGGCTGTATTATCAGGCTGAATTTGAAGAAATATGAAAGTTTGTTTCTATTCTGAAGAGATATTTCCCTTCCCTTCTTCAATCTAGCCCCTTCTGAATATTAAGATACTGAGCTACTGCTGGATTAAAAGTTGTAAGAGAAGGCAATCAATTTATATTTTTATTTCTCTCATTAAGTGAGATTGACATGAGTAATGTTGATGCATGCTTGTGAATGAAAGGATGAGTTGTATCCTAAGATTTTTGACAAAGATCAGCCTTGGTTGAAGACTATCTTTTTTTGACGAAGAAGACTGTCTCTTGAATTTATGTAATCTGCCTAAAATTTCAGGGTTTCGAGGCATATGTTGGTTCATTGTTGCTTCAAACAGCATTTGTTGGATTTGTATCTGAATGGCAGGTGAGCTACCTTCTGTGTCCGTGTGTTCTCCAGGAAGGGATAATACGATTATATTAAGCATTTTTGTACTTGTACCTTTGGCAGGTTGTATTTTGTGGATTTCTCTTGGTTTTGATGGCTATTGGTAATTTCGTAAATACGGTGAAAACTTTACTTGTGAAATTGCGTTTTAAGGCAAAGATGAAAAGGACTAAAAGTAAGCAACAGCTCGACTAGGGATGGCATTTCTGAAAGTTCCGATAGTCTCATACACCCGATTTCTTTATATTATATCCTTGGTTTTGTGTTGCTCTGGTGTAATTGAAGGTTCTTTTCATGTAGTTGAGATGTACACATTGTTTTATAGCATAACCCCCCTTTCCCCTAAGAAAAAAAAAAAAGAGCATTTTTGTTTTGTATGTGTAATTCTTGGCTTACCACAATAATTGAATATCTGCATTTTTTGTTTTAATAGATTGCTTAGATTAGATTTGTATTAATCAAATAATAAATGGGATGTTACCCAGTATTCAGTTCTGACGTTTTGTACCTTGTTTCTACTAATCATCTTTCTCAAAAACAATCAATTTAAATTTTGAAACAGCACTCAGCCACTCACTAAGGTTACGATGCGTCCAAAAGCTAACGAGCGCCCCTGGGCATTAGATAAGGAATAATTATATTGGTTGAAATGGTATTAAGTTAGGAATGCATGACAAAATCACGCGTCGTTTGGTGTAATTAATGTTAATTTTACTCTAATATTTTCACTTTTAATTCTCATAAGAGGAAGTCCCTCGTCTAGGGTTCGTATGTCCCTCGCCTAGGGTTTGCTACGTTTTCTTGATTTCCTTGATCTCAATCATTCAATTCTTGCTTAATTTTCCTGCTTTCCCCTGCAAATTATGTTCTGACCATGGTAGAGGATTTACTGAACGATTTTGAGAAAATTAGATTAACGGATGACAAGTCGAAAGTGATTGGTGAGAATTTTGTTGACGATGATGATTCAAATAATCAAATTGCTCTTTCGTTGGTAGGAAAACTTCTGACCTCTAAGCCCTTTAATGTTGAGGCTATGAAACGAACTTTGATCTCGGTTTGGAAGTTACACGATAATGTTGAGGCGAAATTAAGTTTAAGGCAATAGGGTCAATTGACCCCATATAATTTTTAAATTCTTACTGCATATACTTCATCCATTTTTATTTAGTTGACACGTTTGATTTAGGCACATATATTAAGCAGATGAGAGAGTGTGAGAGAGAATAATGAAAAAGCAAGTGGGGTACCTTGTAAATACAAGGTAAAAAATTTAACAACCCCCACTGGCATTGCCCCCAACCCCCACTGGCGCCGAAGCCCGAAGCCCTACCGCCGACAACTGTACACTTCGGTGTCGACGACCACATTCCCTCCTCCGGGGTTGCCGACGAAGGAAGGAATGGCGCTGGTGACAAGAAGGCCGACAAGCGATTGGCTGCTGACAGTAGATAGGGGGAGGTTGAGTGGTGGTTACTTTTTTAAAAAAAAAAAAAGTTTTTTTTTTCTATAATTAATTCTCTAATTTAATAAACAACGTAACCAATCCTATGCTACCACGTGACATAATTAGTCTTAATGACTAACGGAATTAACTGTCATTAGTCATTAAGGGCATTTGGTGATATTTTTGAAAAACTCGTTAGTATATAGTGAATTTGAAAATTTTCATGGGTATATAGTGAATAAAAAAATAACTCAAGGGCATTTGATGAAAAATCCAATATTTTTTTTTTTTGGTTTTTAAAGAGCCACAACGGTGGGGGTAAGGTTCGATCCCAAGATTTCCTGGAACCGGGAGGGACTAAACACTTAATACTTCCTCCGTTGATTATTAATTGCAACAATTATTATATTTGGATGATAAGCTTTATTTGCAACAAAACAAAATTTGGTAACTTTTTTCCATCAAAATAACAAAAAAAAACCTTTATTTCAAACTTCATAACCTCAATTACATACTTGAGACCAAAATAATCATATTTCTCATTAATTCATTTTCTTCCATCTCTGCTATTATCTTTCTCTTTCCTTTTTATCATCCAATTTTTTCACCTTAATGACCTTCCTCATTATCTTTCTTTTCTACCTTCAACCTTATTGTCATGAATTGAATAAGAAAACCTTTTAATTCCAGATCTTGAAATAGGCAAGACTTGTTTCTTTTCATGGGTAGTTCGTGGGGGTTACATCATTTGTGTTTTTCGTTGAATTGAGTTTGGTTGTTTGGGTTTGGTTTGATTTGGGTTTTCCTTGTTTTTGGGTTGATTGTTTTTTGTGAGTCTTGGTGGTTCATTAGGTGGCGTGGTTCTGGTGGTCTGGTAGGACGCGTGCAGTGGGTTTTGGTGGTTCGTTGGGTTGCATGGGTTTTGGTGTTTATTTGGGTGATGTGGGTCTAAATTTGGGTTTGTGGGTTTCATGAGTGATGATTTTGAGTGACATGGGCTTTGTGGGGGTGATTCGAGTGGTGTGGGTTTTCAGGGTAGTGGTTCTGGGTGGCGTATTTTCAGAAGATAGTGATGTGTTTGTAAGAGGTGGTGGTATTACACTTTGGATTCTCTATTTTGATTAATTATTCACTCCTTAATTATTACCCTTATTTTTCACTAATCTTGTTTAAAAAGTTTTGTCTTGGTTTCGTGTATATGCACCTCCTTTGTTGCAATTAATTATTAACGAGAAAGTATGTTGTTTCACGTAATTTGTTAATTTATAAATCATTTAATATAATTTGTTCATTTTGATTAAACATACTTATAATTAAGCTAGATTCGCTACTGTGTTGGATTTAGGATGTCAAACGTGTTATTTTGTGTTTTGGTGTTGATATTGCAGAGCTTTTGCTTAAGGACAATAAGAGTTTATTTGATTATTTTACAATTTTTGACTCTGAATAAATGAATTATTCACTTAACGTCAACCCCAATTTGGGTCATGCGGTAGTTTTAACTAGTTGGAAAACAATAATCGATGGTGAAAAACAACTTAAATTTCAGAATTTGTACAATATGGAATGAAAAACTGAGTGTGTTTTTAGTGATATGTTTCTTTTTAAGCAACGTGTTCCTGAGTTCTATTTTCTCGTATTAAGTCAATAGTTTTTTTACTGATATGTTTCTTTTTAAGAATCGTGTTCATGAGATCTATCTTCTCGTAATAAGTCAATAGTTTTGATAGAGTAAAAAACTTATCTTTTTATTTATTTTTTATTGTTTTTATTATTTATTTTTTGTTGTAAGAATTGCAATAGGGTAGAGAATACTTGTCTTTTATTGTTAGTTTTAATGGGTCAATAAAATTTGGGACAGATTCATTTCGATTCTATTAGAGATATGAGATATCGGAAAATATGTGATATATTTTTCGTAAATATATATCATCATTAAAAGAATAATAGGAATATTGTTTTCTATTTTATGTGCATAGGTTTTGATATTGGCAATATTCACAAAAAAAAAAAAATTCTTACCGGTGGGTTGAAAAATTAAATCCACCGGTGGGATAAAATTTCGATGTGTTAGTTAAAATATGTTTGTGGGTGAAAAATTTGATGATTTGATGTATTTAATATTATGAGTGGCCTTTGTCAGATTAAGTTGCTCGTGTGTGTCATGGTGTGTGAATCCTCAAAGATGATTATTGGGGACTACATACATGAGGTTTTTTTAACGAAAAAAAAAAATCCGCTCTGTGGTGTTGTGAGACAAGATGTATTGATTCTCCTTGTACGGTGAGGCAGTGTTTGTTTCGGGGTTTTCTGATGTCCTGCGGGAGAGTTACAATTCCGAGACTGGAACCGGACGCCTGTACCTGCAAAATAACGGAGACTCCTGGTGGTGGGAGCTCCGCCTCCAACGGTCAAGTTAGTACTTGATTAAGGAGTAATTAATGCGGAAATTAAAGTGATTGGGTCTCTCTAGGTGAGAGTGTTTAATGTAGGTAATCTGCTTTGTTAGCGAGATCAGCCGGTTATTACTGTGTGTAATTAATGTGTTTTTTCGTAATCCCCCTTAATGAGGATTAAGGGAGGTATTTATAACCTTGGGAAACGTGCCCATCCTAGGTTTAGGTTAACCTAGGGCTGATTGGGCTTCCCTCGAAAGTTGGGCCTGGGTGGCCGGTTTCTCCATTAGGCATGGAGTATGCCACATGTCATGACATAATAGGTCCAAGGTGGACGAATAAGCGCGTGCCACGTGGAAAGCCCTGACAGTTCCAACTGGGGGACACTTGGCTGGACCTGATTGGCCCACGTGGCGCATTCCGATTGGTGGGAGCAAAATCCCCTAATCAGTGTTTATATTGGTTCTCCTTGTACCGTGAGACAGATGTTTTAAATGTTTTGAGTGTTGTTTACTCTGAAAAACCAATATTTGTTTGGAGCTCTATTTTGCTTAGGAAAAACCAAATGAAATATGATGAGTTTGAGAAAAAGAGACGCCCTCGTTGTAATGTTTTTCTTGCAGGTTCGAAAAGAATGACATTCCTGCTTGTTTGATGATCGATGAGTTCGAAAAGCTGAACGCTCTCATCATTAAAAAAAATTAACAGTGATATCAACAGAGAAGTTTATCTTGATCGAATTCAACAAAGTAGAATTTTCAATTGCAACGTTTGTGTTACTGCCGTTATGATTGCGGAATGATGTTAGAGATATGAGATATCGGAAAATATGTGTGATATATTTTCCGTAGATATCATCATTATATTAAGAGAATAATATATTTAGGTTTATTGATGTTAAAGATATTATTAGTTAGAGAATATATCTTTAGGTTTATGGTTATGTTAGTATATTTTTTAGAAATATAAAGTTTTCATGGTTGAATTTCACCTAATTAAAAACCTCATTTTGACCATGAGACTTAAATTCCGTCATTCCTCTAAGCTTTTTAGGGTCAAACCAAGTAAACCCACCACCCTAAGACAAAGAGAATAGAGAGAAAAGAAAGGAGCTGGAATTAAGAGAGAGAAGGAGGATGGAATCACAAGGGAGCTAGGAGACCGAAGAAGAGAGGGAAAGGGAGAAAGAGAAGAACACAAACCCCGACAAAGAAGAAGGAGAAAGAGAAAGAGGGCGGAGAAGGAGAGCGAGAAAGAAAAAGGGCGGAGAGAAAGACGTGAGGAGAGGAGAGAGAAAGAAGAAAGAGGGCGGAGAGAAAGACGTGAGGAGAGGAGAGAGAAAGAAGAAAGAGGGCGGAGATAGAGAAAAGACATGAAATAAGGGGAAGGAGAGGCTAGTTTAGGTTAAGAGGGTATAGTAAGGTTTTTTTTTTATTAATAACTTTCTGACAGAAATTCCGTCGGAAATTTCTGACGGGATAATCGAGTTGAGTTTGTGTCAGTTACAGATCAGGGTAGGGTCCTGACTTTCTTAGGTCAAATCAAATCAGTTATATTTCAAATTGGATGAATATTTTCAAGTCGTTTTGGTTTTGACACCTTTAGGGATGTACTACAAATACGGGGAGAATAGTGAACTGACTATTGGTGATAAAGAGGGACATGAATAGGTGGTGGCCCTGGTGGGCAGTGGAGTTAGCTTAGAGAAACAATTTGAACCTTTTTAAGAGGAGAGATGAGGGATGTACTACAAATACTGGTAGTGATGGTCAATGACTCAATAGGTGTTGGGTTATTAAGGATAGTGAGATGTGGGAGAGGTAAATTTTCGAGTAAGTTGGGTGTCATTGAAAGAGTGTTTTAGTTGTTTTGTAAGGAGCTTATTCAATGAGCTGATTGTGTTCCAACGTCTAATTCCAGCACGAAAATACGAGTAAAGCTTTTACTTTTTTGATTTTATATGTGTTGCACATTTCAGCCAAATGACAACCATAACCAACTAGCCAATTCAACTACTAGCTCTTAGATTCCCCCCCCCTAATGTAAGCTCTTAGCGATTAGTTAATCACTAATTACCAAACATTACGTAAGGGCATGTTCAACAGTAGCGTTCGAGTAGCTTTTAGTGGTTAACCAAGTCAAACCACTATTTAACAAAAAAAAAAAAAAAAAAAAAAAAGATGAGTGTTTGACAATTCAATGTAGTGGTTGTGGTAGCTTTTAGTGGTGGAGGTAGGGTTTATCAAAAGTTAGAAATATTAGATTTTAAAGTTAGAGGTAGCTGTTGAAAAATTTAATCCATAATTTTAGGAAAAATAATGATTTTTATATGTAACAGCTACTTCACCAACACTTATACTATACCTAATTATATATCTTCACATCTAACAGCTTGTTGACAGCTAACATCTACCTACACAGCTAATAGTTACCTTCACAGTTATATGCTTATATTTTGTTGTACACGCCCTAGGGCCTGTTCTCATAGACCGAACTCGGCTGAACTGAACTGAAGTGAAATGAATATTTTATAAGAGAAGGAAATTAGGAGCTGAAATGAACTGAACTGGAAAAAAAGTATGAGAACAGGCCCTAAGTCCATATAATAATTCTTATAAGTTCATAATGCCTAGATAAAAGCGGGAAATGATTATCATGCGCGTGCATTTGAACAGTGTATAAGGCATTACTATTAGGTTTTTTTTTTGGCATTTTTTTAAATTTGTTAACCAACAATAGATTTTATTACCAGTATTATTTTTTTTTAAAAAAAATATTAAGAGCAACTCCAATGGTTGTATCTAGGGACTTGCTTGCAATTTTAAATAGTCCCTAGCTACTAGCTTGACCATTGGAGTAAAAATATTTAATTAGCCTAGTCAAGCAAATTACAAGCTAAGAGTAACTCCAACGGCAAGCTAATTGCCAAATTAGCTTGCCATGCCACCTAGGATTGCAAAGCTATTCTTCCTTCTAGGTAATTTATGCCACAATGGTTAAGCTAATTAGCATTTAGATTTTCAGCTTTATTTTTTAAATAATTAGTATTTTATTAGAGACAATTAATTTCTAAGCTAATTAGCCTAGCTAAGCTAATTTGCTTGGCATTAGCTTGGCCAAACTAATTATTAAACTATCCTCCAATGGTTTGGCTATTAGCTTGAAAATTATTAAAATTGCAAGCTAGTCCCTAAAAGCAACCATTGAAGTTGCTCTAAGAAAATGCTAAAAGTTAATTAGTAATTAAGATAAAAATATTAAATTGATGATTTAAAAAGTAAGCTAACAGCTAACTGTTGGGCTCAAACTAGCTACAAAGATAATTAGCTTAAAAGCTTATGTAGCATGACAATCTAATTTGACAATTAACTTGTCATTGGAGTTGCTCTAATATAGATACCGACGAGCTTGTCTAGTATTAAATTTTCTAATGGGCGCGTTTTTTTTTTCCACCTAATTCTCTTTTATCTAAACTCATTTAGCTAATGTCAAACTTATTTTAGATGTCAACTTAACTTTAGTAACCCCACTTAATTTATAAAAACTTTTTTTTTTCCCTAAATTTGTCTTATCTAAAATTATTAACGCTCACTTTTAGATTTTTTTTAAAGATCACTTTTAGATTTCTTAAATATACTCCCTCGTGTTTTTTTAAGTGTTACATTTTTCATTTTCGGCCGTATTTTTTTAAGCGTTACATTTTCTTTTTTTGGCAAAAAAACTACTACCTCCGGTTCAATTTACTCGCAACAAAGGGGTATTATTTGTGAGACATAAAATATTCTTTTGTTGCGAGTAAATTGAATCAGAGATAGTATATTAAAATATTATATATCTCTCCTCTCATAGTCCCCACTCAAACCCACTACTACTTTTTTATTATATCTTTCCACTCACCTTCATTACTTTTCAATAAATTATTAACCCCACTATCTTTCTCTTACAATTTTTTAATACTCCAAATACCCTACTTAACTCTTATTTTATTTAAATCAATTAAATTGCCTAAAATTATGTGTCGGTCAAACTATAACACTTAAAAAAAACACAGAGGGAGTATGAAAATTAGATGAATAAAACATGTCATAAATGGTAGGTATAACAAAGCATGTCATTAGAAAGCACTAGTCGACCACTCATAGATTAAAAAAATAACCCCAGTGATAATTTTGATGTACTTCAATAATCTGTATGTACAAATAGGATTCAGTATCATCTTTCAAACCAAAAAATAAATAAAAAATAAAAAATAAAATAAATAAATAAAGAATACAATATCAAGATGATAATTTCCATTAAAATATCGGAATTAATTGTGGCTGCTGATCAGTTTGTCACTTATTAAACATTCCATTAAGATGCAGGTGCAATACTTTTCTATTCAAAATAAAAATAAAAATGAGGCAATACATTTGACTTGCAACTCGTTGACTTCTATTGTAAATTCAAAGTCGGAACCTTAGTTGTCAAATGTCAAAGCATAAGTTGAGAGCAACATCTAATAACAGAAGGCATGCATGATGCTTTGCTAACATTTATAATCCTATCTATTGATAATAGGCTAATAGCACACTCAACCATTGATTTTTTAATTTTTTTTTATTGTTTTTTAATGCACTTAAGTGCACATAGGGTTAGTGTTTTTAAAAAATATATACTAATTCCATATATTTTGCTCATTAATAAATTTCAAATTAAATAACAAGTCCTGTATCATTAAATAATAATATACGATTTTACAAACACAAAAACCTTCTAATGAAGTTGTAAAGGATCAAGTTATACCGCTAATCCGATATAGATTAAGGTAAAAATGACTTAGAATTATTGAATAACTTACTGTAAAATATTATGTTATCGTAGTATATAAATTAAGTTAGGATAGCTTATCTCTGAAAATAGAATAATTTATGTTGATGGTATGATAAATTATTATAAGTAAGCTTCACTTAAGGTTTCATGTAAAAAAATTTGAATTACAATAATTCATAGGAAAATGCTATACATAGCCCTAAGGGCTACATATAAGCATTTAATTTACTCTTGAAAATTGTTTAAATTTAGAAAATCATGACAAAAACACACTAATTACACCGATTTGCGCGTGTTTTTGTCATGAATTCCTAACTTTATACATTTTCCAAGAGTAAATTCAATGCTTATATATAGCCCTAAGGGCTATGTATAGCATTACCCAATTCATAAATAGTGTATATGTTGAATTGACCACCTTAATATTTTAATGATTGACTTACGTAAAACAAACTCTGACTAATGATGTTTATAAGTCTTGGTTGAACAGAAAGATTCAGGTATACGAATATATGTTCCGGAGTAGGAACAACAGAGTTTGGAAGACTTGATGATGAATGCAAGCTTTCAAGATGTTCTCACAACTCTAGTATACTTAGTTATTCAGTGTATGAACTTAAGAAACAAAAGTGTTGGAAGGAACTCATGAGAAACTCAAAGTTCCTGATGGAATCTGGAATTCCTGAAGGAACTTGACTGATGCTCAGAAAAGTGTTTAAACGATGGTTTTCAAAAACAGTTTTCATATCCCTTAATTTATGGAAAAGATAAAATCAGTTTTGAAAAAGATTTATTTTATAAATAAATAAAATCAAAATAATTCATTAATTTAAAAGATAAGTTTTTAAATTAATTAATTATTTAGTTATCTTTTAATTAATAAACAATTATCTTTTTTAATTAATAAATAATTATCTTTTTAAATCCTTAACTAATTTTTGACTTAGTAAAAATAACTGTTTACTTAAATTAAGGAAGCACGTTGATTTAGGAGTCAAGCTAGGGAAATCATGTTCCTAAATTTCCTCAGCCTACATCCCAACTTCTCAGTTAAAGAGAACGTGGGATTAAGGGGGAAGTGGGAACTTGATGGAAGCTTGGTTTAACTCCTTATAAAAACAGATCAACGTTAAGTTTTGAAAGTGTGGAAAAACAATCTTAAGTATTCTGAGCATAGAGTTTCAAAGTGTTTAAAAGAGAAGTTCCTTCCATCCTTAGTCTCTTAAGTTCTTTAGAAAATACTTGTAATCATTGTGTAATTGGGTTTGGGTTGTGAGAGTTGTAAAGTGTGAGATTTGAGAGAGTTGTTTACACTGTACAAGTGATTCGGAGTAGAATCACAAAGTGTGAGAAACTGTGATTGAGGGATCACAGTTGGGTAACTTGAGTTCCTCACGGAACTTGAGTCTAGGCAACGTATTAGTGATTGTAAATCATTTTTACATAGTGAATTTATTCATTGCCTATCTCAGTGTCTTTTCTCTTAGTAGTAGATTTAATTCCGCAAAATTTACCATAGTCTACATACACTACAATTCACCCCCCCCTCTTGTAGTATACATTGTTGTATCAATTGGTATCAGAGCAAGGAACTCGGAAAAGCAGGAAGCCCTGTCGAGTCAAGTTCCTGGAGGAACAATGTCAAAGGACGAGAGACTAGCTGAAGGTTACTCTACACAAAGACCACCACTCTTCAATGGGAAGTACTATGCCTATTGGAAGACAAGGATGGAGATGTTCATACAGTCCGAGAATTATCAAGTCTGGCAAGCTATCGAAGTAGGAGATTACGAGGTAACCAAGACCAATGCAGAAAATGAGGTAATTCCTAAACCTATCTCTGAATATGATAGAAATGACTTTGAGAAGAAAGAGATTAATGCTACTGCTAAAAAACTCCTAGTTTGGGGTTTAGGGCCAGATGAACACACTCGTGTTATGGGATGTAAAACAGCAAAAGAAATATGGGATTTACTAGAAATAACCCACGAAGGAACTCATGAAGTCAAACCTTCTAAAATTGATATACTGCTTTCTAAATATGAACGTTTTGAAATGGGTTCAAAAGAAACTATTCAAGAAATGTTTACTCGTTTTAAAAATATTACTAATGAATTAGTTTCTCTTGGTAGAGTTGTTCCTATGGATGAACAGGTACGCAAAATTCTAAGAAGCCTTCCTGAAGATGAACGGTGGAGAGCCAAAGTGGCTGCTTTGCAGGAATCAAAGGACTTTACAACCTTTAACCTTGAACAACTTGCAGGTTCCTTGATAACTCATGAGCTTCACCTATCAAACAAAAGTCAAGAAAGCTCAAAAAGCCGAGGAATCGCTTTAAAAGTTGCCCAACCAAGTGATGAGGATTCCGAATCTGGAGAGGAAGAAGCTGCCATGCTAGTCAGGAAGTTAAAAAAGCTGTACCGCAACAAAAGGTTTGGTGACCAAAAGAAAAGGAACTTCAAGAAGAACCAATACTCCAAGGAAACAGGAGGTTGCCACAAATGTGGGAACACAGATCACTTCATCAAGGAATGCCCTCTCTGGGAATCAGAAAAAGGAAAAGGCAAAATGAAGGAACACGGAAAATCTAATACTCCTAACTTTTCAAAATCTGATTACAGGAAAGCCATGATAGCTGCGTGGGGAGACACAAGTTCTGAGGATGAAGAAGAATCCACGGAAGAAGAAACTGCAAACCTGTGTTTGATGGCTAAACACAGTGAAAGGTCAAAGGAGGTAAATCTCGAACCTAAATTTCTGAAATCCCTGTCAAAAGACAAATTAATTTCTTTGCTCATAGAAACATTGGATGAATATAAAGAAATATGTCTTAAACTTGGACAAAATGAAAAAGCTCTAGAAATCTATAAGGATCATATGAAATATTTGAATAGTTCAAGAACAGATGTTCAGGGAAGATTCTTTGATTTGCTAGATAGAAATACTATGCTTAAAGAAACACTGGAAAGAGTCAAAAATGAAAATATCATGTTAAATGTTGAATTGACTCAGTATAAATTGCTATGCACTAACATTGATTCTAATAATGCTCTTCAATTTCCTTTAGTAACCTTTAATGATGATCTTGAAAATTTGAAAAAAGAATTGCAGGTTACTAAAGACAAAAATGAGTTCCTTGAAAAGGATCTAGAAAGAGCAAGAAACAATGAGAGTGTAATCCACATGGGAGTTCCAAAGTGGATACTTGAAGCTCAAACCAGAAGGACAGAAGGTTTGGGTTTCAACCACAAAAAGAAGAGTAGTAGTAAAAAGAAAAACTATGTGGAACTTCCTAGTGAGACTGTGTGTTCCTTCTGTGGCAAGTCAGGACACAAAGATACTGAATGCAAAAGAAAGGAACTTAAGTCCACTAAAAATATAGTTTATGTATGGCAAAAGAAAAATGAGTCTGCTGTATCAACGAAGGAACCCATGAAAGATGGGGTTCCTGAATCTAACCCTTAGTTTCTTTTGCAGGTCGTAGTGAGGGGGAACAACCAATGGTACCTCGATAGTGGTTGTTCCAAGCACATGACAGGAGATGAATCAAGATTTCTCTCACTGACGGCCTATACAGGAGGAACTGTGACCTTTGGTGATAATAAGAAAGGCAGCATTGTTGCCGTAGGAAAAGTTGGAAGGTCAAGTTCCCAAGCTATTGATAACGTTTTTTTAGTCGAGGGCCTCAAACACAGCTTATTAAGCATATCACAATTTTGTGATAAAGGAAACTCAGTAAGTTTTGATTCTGAAAAATGTAGCATCATTCAGAATGACACTGGGAAAGTTTTGATGGAAGGAACTCGGAAAGGGAACACTTATACAGTGGATCTCAATACAGTTCCGAGGAACAACTTAACTTGCCTCAGTGTCATTGAGGATGATCCTTTACTGTGGCATAAACGTTTTGGTCATGCAAGTTTCTCTTTGATTGATAAATTAAGAACAAGGAACTTGGTAGAGGGACTTCCTTCAATCAAGTTCCTATGTGACAAAATTTGTGATGCTTGTGTGAAAGGAAAACAGGTCAGATCATCCTTTAAATCCAAGAAAATGGTGAGTTCCACGAAACCTTTAGAGTTAATTCATATGGATTTGTGTGGTCCTATGAGGATTCAAAGTAGAAGTGGAAAGAAGTATGTCTTAGTAATTGTTGATGATTATTCTAGATTCACATGGGTAATTTTTATGTCTAGCAAAGATGAGACTTTTGATGAGTTTGTCACATTTTTCACGAGAATTCAAAAGTCCACCGGACATCAACTGATACACCTTAGATCTGATCATGGCACTGAATTTGAGAATTTTAAATTTGATGATTTATGCAGGGAACAAGGCTTAAGTCATAATTTCTCAGCTCCAAGAACTCCACAGCAAAATGGAGTTGTGGAAAGGAAGAACAGAACCTTAGAAGACATGGCTCGAACCATGTTAATAGCCAGCGATCTTCCAAGGAACTTCTGGGCAGAAGCCGTGAATACAGCCTGTTATATTATAAATCGTGTCATGCTAAGGCCTATATTAAATAAGACACCCTATGAACTTATGAAAAGCAGAAAACCGAATATATCTCATCTGAGAGCATTTGGTTGTAAATGTTTTGTGCATAATAATGGTAAAAGGAACATAGGGAAATTCGATGAAAGAAGTGATGAAGCCGTATTTCTCGGATATGCTACTAACAGTAAAGCGTATAGAGTTTACAATAAACGCACTATGTGTGTTGAGGAAAGTGTGCATGTTATATTTGATGAAACTAATCCACTTCCATGTACACAGGAACATGAGGACTATGACTTTGAAATTGGTCTAGTACGTCCTCAAGAACAAGAAGAAGATGCAGTAATTCCAAATAAGCAGCCAACTCGATTAAATGAAAATCATGAAAATCCAGAGAAGGAACTCGACATACAGACTGAAGTTCCTTCGAGAGAACAGCCTCAGAATGAAGAACCTGCCGAGGAACCAATAACACAAGAGGAAATCACTGAAGAAGAAGCAACAGGCTCAGGAAATCAGAATAGTCGAGTTCCTATCCAAACCTTCCAGCCCAAACCTTGGAAGCACCAAAAGTCACACCCACTGGACAAAATTATCAGTGACTTATGCAAAGGAACTCAGACTAGATCGCAAATGAGGAACTTCTGTGCCTTCAATGCTTTTCTATCTACTTTGGAACCTCGCAACCACAAAGAAGCCTTAGAAGACCCTGACTGGATTATAGCCATGCAAGAGGAACTCAATGAATTCGAAAGAAATCAGGTATGGCATCTTGAACCTAAGCCACTAGATAAAAAGGTCATAGGCTTAAAATGGGTCTTTCGAAACAAACTTGATGAATATGGTACAATTGTACGAAATAAGGCTAGGTTGGTTGTAAAGGGATATAACTAACAGGAGGGTATTGATTTTGAGGAAACATTTGCTCCTGTTGCTAGACTTGAGGCTATTAGAATTTTAATATCTTTTGCTGCTTTCATGGGTTTTAAACTGTATCAGATGGACGTAAAGTGTGCGTTTTTGAATGGTTTATTAAAAGAAACAGTTTACGTCGATCAACCCCCTGGATTCGAGAATCCAAATTTTCCAAACCATGTTTTTAAACTTGATAAGGCTCTCTACGGACTAAAACAAGCTCCAAGAGCATGGTATGAAAGATTGTCTAAGTTCCTTTTGGAAAATGATTTTAAACGAGGAAAAATTGATAAAACTTTGTTTTTAAAATCTAAAGGAACTCATCTTTTAGTTGTACAGATCTATGTTGATGATATTATATTTGGTGCAACTAACGAATCTTTGTGCAAGTACTTTTCTGACTTGATGTGTAGTGAGTTCCAAATGAGCATGATGGGGGAACTCAATTTCTTTTTAGGACTGCAGATCAAACAAACAGAATCAGGAATATTTATACATCAGCAAAAATATGTCAAGGAACTCCTGAAAAAGTATAACCTTGACAACGCAAAGACTAACCACACTCCTATGGGAACTAACTCTAGATTAGACGAAGATCCCTCAGGAACTTGTGTGGACCAGACAATGTACAGAGGTATGATTGGTTCCTTATTATATTTAACTGCAAGTAGACCTGACATTTCTTTTAGTGTTGGTCTTTGTGCTAGGTTCCAATCAAATCCAAAAGAGTCGCATCTAACTGCCGTAAAAAGAATACTGAGATATCTTAAAGGAACGGCAGACTTGAGTTTATTCTACCCACTAAGTGATACATTCGATCTCAAAGGATTTGCTGATGCAGATTATGCCGGAGACTTAGTAAATCGCAAGAGCACGTCAGGTATGGTTCAATTCTTAGGCTCTTGTCCAGTTTCTTGGAGTTCCAAGAAACAAAACACTGTTGCTCTATCCACTGCTGAAGCAGAATATGTAGCTGCTGCTGCATGTTGCTCCCAATTAATATGGATAAAGCAATAGTTGCGTGATTTTGGCATAATTTTAGAATGTGTTCCTATATACTGTGATAATACTAGTGCTATTTGCATCTCAAAAGATCCAGTACATCATTCACGTGTAAAGCATATTCATGTTAGGCATCACTTTCTAAAAGACAATGTGGAAAAAGGCTCTATTAAATTAGAATTTGTACAAACTGAATATCAAATTGCTGACATTCTAACAAAGCCTTTGAGTAGAGAAAAATTCGAAAAGATGCGATTGGAACTCGGAATGATAAAGCTGAATTGAGCAGTTCTTCTTGGAACCCCAAGGTATGTCTTAGTGAAACGACTGAGCATTGCTATATATAACCTTGGTGTGAAAAACATAATCTCGAATCTTGCAATGAACAAGCATGTAATTCTAATGATGTGTGATCATGTGATTATGTCAATAAAGAAGACAAATTAAGCCATATTATTTTCCAAGTTTTTTTTAAAAGCTCTGTACAGGTCAACCAGTATTTTACTCTGAAGTAACTTACTGGCATTTTTATTTATCTTTAAATTTTTAATTTTATCTTTTTTCATCTTATAAATTCCAAAACAACAAAAAGATTTTTTTTCTCAATTAGATTTTATCTTATTTTTATTTTTCTTTTTATTGTAAATAAATCACACAACCTTTCAACCTCCCCACTAACACGCTTTCCCACATTCACTCCCACATTCACTTCACCTAAACCGTCCCTTCACCACACCCCTTAAACCGTCACTTTTTACAAACCCTTCAACTTCATCACCTATCATCACCCGTCACTCCCCACAAACCCCTCCTCACCTTCACGTTCCTACCAACCTCAATTTATACACTTCTCCTACTTTCTCAAAATTCACCCAACCATGAAAACCAACATAAATTCCAACCCCTTAGAACGACGATCCGGACGGAACTCACCATCAAAACCCGTCCCTCCAACTATGATAATCCCTTCCTCCTCTCACGCACCAAAACGCAAGGCTACTCAACCCAAGGAAAAACCAGAAAAAACTAAGGCCCGTCGCACCAAAGCCCGGCAAACCCAAAACGACAAATTCTTACTTGGGTATGCAATTGATCACTCATGGTGCACGGATTGTAAGTTTTCCGAAATTTTAGAGTTGTTGGATTATCAAAATTGGATATATTTGTTGGATGTATGTTCAAAGTTTCCAATTTATCCTACATTAATGGATGAATTTTGCTCCTCTTTTGTTTGCGTTGATGGTGTATGTAGTGCTACGGTTGGTGGTGTGAATATTGAGTTTGATGCAGGTTATTTGGCCAAATTGTTTAAAACCCCAAATATTGGATATAGAACCTATGTCAAAAACAAATCCAAAAACACCGTAGATGGCCACAATGAAACCGAAATTGTCACATTTATTGGTGGAAACCCGAAAGTTACTACAACTAACCACAATGCCTTAACTCCTTTGCATAAACTATTGTTCAACATCATTTGGAGAGGAATTCTTCCTCGTTCCCAAAAACGCAGCACTGTAACCCTGTTAGATGCATCCCTTATCTTCTGTCTAGCAAAGAAAGTTAGCATTAACTTTCCTGCCTTAATGATAGCCCACCTAGACCACTGCATTCCCGACCTACACATACCCTATGGTTCCCTTTTGACAGTGGTGTTTCAGGATTTGAAAGTTCCTTTGCCACAAACCGAGACATACATTCTCAAACCTGAACACATCCTTCAAGAAAAATCATTGTTAAAGCTGAAATTAAAAGTGGTGAATGGGAATGTTTGTTTTGCATCTAATGTGCAAAGTGATTCCGAGGGGGAACACAGTGAGGGGGAAGGAGACAAGAAAGAGGAAAATCGTGAGGAAAATAAAAATGCAATTGGAGAGAAAGAACCAGAGAAGGATTGTGAAGAAGAGGTAGAAGAAGTTAAGAGTGATGGGGTAGTAGAGAGTGCAAATGAGGAGGAGGAAGAGGATGATCAAGAGAATGAGAAGGAGGAAGAGGATGCTCAGGAGGCATTACTGCAAGAGTTACTTCAGGAAGTTGGGGGTTCTGTCAAACACACCCCTATACCAGGCAGACGAAGGAGGAGTGTCAGACTTGCTTCATCCAAACCCAAACCCCTGCATTCTGAGCTTGTCATTGTTGAGTTGGATGAAGAATCAACTAAAGTTTCTGAAGGAACTTCCACCCAAGTTCCTCCGGGCCCCTCCTCTTCTGTTCCAGAGGGAACTCCATCACCACCTCCAATTCCATCCCATGCTCACCAAACCACACCTTCTCCACCTGCTTCACAGCCTCGTACTTCTGGTCTCGGCTTCGGTGCTTTTAGCTCTAGTCCAAGTTCCTTGCAAATCCAGGAGGAACTTAAGCTTTTGTCCACTACACTTACACAGAGTATAACTACCCTTTCTTCTAAAGTGGATAACCTGGCTACTAAAGTTGAGGGGCTGCAAACTCAGATGCTTTCTCTGGAAGATAAAGTAAATGCTCATATGGACTCCTCAGCTCAGGAATTCAAAGCTAAAGTGAAGCAAAGTTGTTACAAGACCATTCTTGATGCGATCAAGGATGTTACCTTACCATGAAGCTGCTACCATATCCTAGCCCTTTGCAAAACAAACCTACCCCACTTTTTCTTGTGATTTATTAAACAGTGATATTGTCCTTCAATTTTATTTTGTTTGGTTTGTTTTGAACACTTTATTTTGTTTTTATTTCGGTTTGTATTAAACTGGCTAAGTTTGTCTTTGAATTTGATGTTTTAATTTTGGTTGCATATGAACTGTGTGCGCATGCTTAATCGTTCATGAATTCAGATTTACTAATCCCTCTGTAGTTTAGTACTATATATAGCATGCTCTCTCTATCATTTTGATAATGTCAAAAGGGGGAAGAGAAGAACAAACTCAAAAAGCCGGACTCAAACCGATTCCCTTCAAGTCTTCATCATTTAAGTAAAGGTATAAATTTCACAATTTATTATTTTCATGAATGATGCAGACTTCTTTAAACTTAGTTTGTTTTATTGCTTTAATAATTTTATTGTTTCACTTAGTTATTGGTTACTCTGATTGTCTGGATGATTATTTTTGTTTACCCGAGTTTGTTTTAGTTTGTCATCATCAAAAAGGGGGAATATTGTTGAATTGACCACCTTAATATTTTAATGATTGACTTACGTAAAACAAACTCTGACTAATGATGTTTATAAGTCTTGGTTGAACAGAAAGATTCAGGTATACGAATATATGTTCCGGAGTAGGAACAACAGAGTTTGGAAGACTTGATGATGAATGCAAGCTTTCAAGATGTCCTCACAACTCTAGTATACTTAGTTATTCAGTGTATGAACTTAAGAAACAAAAGTGTTGGAAGGAACTCATGAGAAACTCAAAGTTCCTGATGGAATCTGGAATTCCTGAAGGAACTTGACTGATGCTCAGAAAAGTGTTTAAACGATGGTTTTCAAAAACAGTTTTCATATCCCTTAATTTATGGAAAAGATAAAATCAGTTTTGAAAAAGATTTATTTTATAAATAAATAAAATCAAAATAATTCATTAATTTAAAAGATAAGTTTTTAAATTAATTAATTATTTAGTTATCTTTTAATTAATAAACAATTATCTTTTTTAATTAATAAATAATTATCTTTTTAAATCCTTAACTGATTTTTGACTTAGTAAAAATAACTGTTTACTTAAATTAAGGAAGCACGTTGATTTAGGAGTCAAGCTAGGGAAATCATGTTCCTAAATTTCCTCAGCCTACATCCCAACTTCTCAGTTAAAGAGAACGTGGGATTAAGGGGGAAGTGGGAACTTGATGGAAGCTTGGTTTAACTCCTTATAAAAACAGATCAACGTTAAGTTTTGAAAGTGTGGAAAAACAATCTTAAGTATTCTGAGCATAGAGTTTCAAAGTGTTTAAAAGAGAAGTTCCTTCCATCCTTAGTCTCTTAAGTTCTTTAGAAAATACTTGTAATCATTGTGTAATTGGGTTTGGGTTGTGAGAGTTGTAAAGTGTGAGATTTGAGAGAGTTGTTTACACTGTACAAGTGATTCGGAGTAGAATCACAAAGTGTGAGAAACTGTGATTGAGGGATCACAGTTGGGTAACTTGAGTTCCTCACGGAACTTGAGTCTAGGCAACGTATTAGTGATTGTAAATCATTTTTACATAGTGAATTTATTCATTGCCTATCTCAGTGTCTTTTCTCTTAGTAGTAGATTTAATTCCGCAAAATTTACCATAGTCTACATACACTACAATTCACCCCCCCCTCTTGTAGTATACATTGTTCTATCAGTATAAATTATAATTTCACTAGCTACTTCATTATATTATAACATTTCACTATTCATTTTAACACAAATCATTTCAATGACTATGCTCGACATTATATACTGCCTCCCATTTTTTTTAGTTGTAACTTTAGAATATTTTATATCTCTCAAATAATACCCCAAAGTTGCAACAAAAAAAAAATCGGAGATAGTAATAAATTTTGATTCACTGTGTTACATTATGTGTAATATCTATCATTGTGATTAATTTGAAGCAAAATGAGTACATATACAACACCCTTTTGCCCTTGAAATGGATGAGTTGGATAAAATGAGCGTCTACTTGGCACCTTAAATTCCCCATTGGCCTACTCCATCACATGTCAACCACAAGCTCATTAAATATCTAAATGTTAATTACTCCATAAATTCTTAATTGTTGTACTTACCAATGATAATTAATCATATATAGTAGACAAATAATAATAATTATAATAAAATTCTTAATTATATGATCTAGATTATTAATTAGTCAACTAACTTGCTAGCTAATAGAAGTAATCTACACACCTCACATGAATCCTAGCTAACTAGTCTATTATAAATACACAAAGCTTCCAACATGAAAATACCATCACCAAATAAACACTTATAGAGTTAACACATACACACAAGTACAATACTAGTACAATATATAGTATTGTTACAATAAGAATAAAATTAAAGCATCAAAAAATGGCTAGAACAATGACTAGCAAGAGAATGAGAGTACTCCAAACACTCTCAATCTCGATCGCTCTTCTCATGATCCTCACCCATGCCCCGTCGGTCCGAGGGCAGGACGCCTCCGAGTGTGAGGCGGCCGCTAGTGGAGGATGTTACGACAAGGAGAAATCCTTGAAGTTAAAAGTCATAGGAATATTTACCATATTAGTAGCTAGTATGATTGGAATAGGGTTACCCTTATTTTCAACGGCTTTTCCCGCGTTACACCCCGATCGTAACGCGGCTGTTATAGTTAAAATCCTAGCCGCGGGGGTAATTTTGTCCACGGGTTTTATGCACGTACTCCCAGATTCATGGAATAATTTAACTTCGCCCTGTTTGCCTGAAAACCCTTGGAGGATTTACCCTTGGTCTACTTTTATAGCTATGGTTACGACGGTTTTGACCATGATGATGGACACGGTTGCAACCGCGTACTTTAAGAAGAAGGGATTGAAGAGGATGCACGCCCATTGTGGTGGTAACCACAATATCGGTGGCGGTGTTGGTGTTGTACACAACATGCAGAGTCCTAGAGAAGGGGATATGGAAATGGTGGATCAAAGTCATAATAACAACAAAGAACAAGTAGTTGTTGCACAAGAAAAAGAGACTCAACTATTGAGATATCGTATTGTGGCTCAGGTATGAATTTGTATGTAGTTGATGAAATTTGATTTATTCATGATCATGATATTAAGAAAGAAAGTTTCTTATAATTAATATCGTTTTGACCAAGTTTTATTGATTTACTAATTTGAAAAAGCATGAATTTTATTCTTGATTTCATATGGTTGATCAAAACCATAGATTAAAAAAATAATAATAAAAAAAAAAAGTACTTTCTTTTTTATAAATAAATTAAATATGTTACACCATGTTAACTTTAAGCTATCCTGCCAACACACTACTTTGAAAGTTAGAAATTGATGATTAAAGGAGAGCATGCATGTAGATATTGTAAAAGTCAACATAATGCAATATATCTAGAATAGAGAAAGTATATCCGATCAAATGGCAATAATTAATAGGAGTAAAGTATATACGAATAATAATTTAATATAATAATAATTGATGATAAAATATCTTCTTATTGTAAAACACTTCAATAATATAATTAGTGTAATTCAAAAGCAAAATATAATAGTGCTTGTGTTTTTATATAATTTTTTATCTTACAAGTTCCAACTCATGATCTCCAAGACTCACACATAATATAATGCAAGAGATTAAGCTCTAAATTTTGTAAAAGTCAAATTGCAGTAAAATTTAAATACAACCTACTACTCAGTACAATATATAATTTGCATAATGTATTAAACATAAAAAAAAAAAAAAAAAAAAAAAAAACCTAGAACTTGAGGATAAAGACATATAGGCTGGTGAAAAAAAAAAAACGCATACAGCCCTCCCAATTTGAAAAATTCTAGAGTAGGTATGAAGAAGACAAGATGAAGCTAAGGAAATTAATTAAAATGTCGAGTTAATTAACCATTACATTATGTTAATCATTTGTCTATCTAGCTTGTCATAATCTGGTGCAAATTAGATCAAGTTTATCTAAATGATTCCTTTTTGTGTGTGGTCATCATTTTCATAGTATATGAAAGTGTATGTATTAGTCAACTACTTCGTAATGTAGTTTATGGTACATTGGTACGGTCGATCTTTCCTTGCTAATATTTCCTCTGTTTATAATTATGTTAACATTTTTTCCCTTACTAATAGTCTTAGGGTATGTTCTACTCACCTTATTTTCTTTTATTTCAAGTCTTATAAGTTCTAGATAAATTCAATCTAGGAAAATTAAGTTTTGATAAGGGATACTCAGACCCAAATTACAGCTAAAATAAGTTTCAATAATTTAAAATCTAATAAGTTTTTCAGGTAAGTTTAGTTGAGTTTAAAGAAATTCAGATTAATTCATATAAGTGAAAATCAGGTAAATAAAACACACTCTAATTAATACTATAGCCCCGTTTCATAAATGTGTCTAATCATTTTCACCCTTACGATATGAAATACATATATATATATTCTAACCTCCCAACTTCCCAAGTGTTGATGGGGCTAGATAAGACAAGTTAGCTATCATTTTTGCTTTGATAATCCTATTCATTTTGTATGATCAACAATTTCTAAAAAGAATGACAAGGAATGCACATGCATATATATATATATATATATATATATATATATATATATATATATATATATATATATATATATATATATATATATATATATATATATGCCTTAGGAGTTAGAGGACATTCTAGATCCACAATTTGGGAGATTAAATGAAATTATTAGACAGAATAATCCAGCTACAAAAGAGCATAATCTACGCGTAAACATAGGCTAATTAACCTTTGAGTGAATGATTAATACATAATTAATTAATTAATTAATTAAAATGTGATGTAGACATGTAGTGAACTTAATCCATTGTCAGTCTTTTGATTAATTCCTGGAAACTGAAGACAAGGGATAAGAGACTTTCAAAGTAGGAGATATATATATATATATATATATATATATATATATATATATATATATATATATATATATATATATATATATATATATATATATATATATATATATATATATATATATATATATACACAGAAGTTGTTCCCTTAACCTCTTTTTAAGGGTACACCCAAGTTTTTGATCAACGTCTTTAGTTAATGTACTTGTGCTATATTAGAGCATCTTTAACAATCAACAAATAAAATTGTTTGTGTTACTATTAAAATAAAATAATGTAAAAAAAATTATGGAATGATGAATAGTGGCATGAACAAATATGAATGGTTTGGAAAACCAAATCATTTGTGAAAATTATTTGTCTGACAAAACTTACTTTTATTAATTATTTTAATGATAAAAATTGTATTTTAATTTTTAGGAAAAGATAAATTGAAAATGGGGTAGGTGAATAGTAACATGAACAATATTGTTTTTTGGTTCATTGTTAAGAGGAGAATGTTGGAAATTATTTGTTTGATTTATGTATATGAGAGAGAGTATTTTTTTTGTGAATAGTAATATGAATAATTTTTTTTTGTTCATGAATAAGGATGTTCTTAATGGTACATTATAAACTGACAAGTAATAATGCATATAAATGACCGAATTTATTGATATATATGCAGGTATTAGAGATGGGAATAGTAGTGCACTCGGTGGTGATAGGACTTTCAATGGGTGTTTCTAACAATCCATGTACCATTAGACCACTTGTCGCGGCTATGTGCTTCCATCAGCTCTTTGAGGGCATGGGTCTTGGTGGTTGCATCTTACAGGTACTCTAGTCAATTTGAACTTGATAGTTATATATGGACCCACTTTTTTTGAAAGCTTTTTAAATCAAATTGTGCAAACAATAAGGAATGATATTTAACTAAAGATTGAAAGTTTAAGCCAGACTTGACCCAATGACCCCTCTACTGTTTGATCCAAAATCAGCCAATTATTATATTATAAAGTTAATTTTGACAATGCGTACATATATAATGAATATTTCAGGCGGAGTACGGGATCAAGATGAAAGCAACAATGGTAGCATTCTTTTCAGTAACAACACCATTTGGAATAGCTCTTGGGATTGGTATGCTAAGTTTCTATAATGAGAATAGCCCAGCTGCCCTAATTGTGGTAGGAATACTAAATGCTACTTCATCCGGACTTCTAATTTACATGGCTTTGGTGGACTTATTAGCATGTGATTTTATGGGACCTAAACTTCAAGGAAATATCAAGCTTCAATTAGTTTGCTATCTTGCTGCCTTCATTGGCATGGGAGTTATGTCTCTCATGGCTAAATGGGCGTAAGGAACTAACGTATACAAAGAACGTTAATTCTACCCACGACGTAAAGTAAAAAAGAAATTATGTTCGTAGGTAACTTGTTGTATATGTATCGGGTAGATAAAGTTTTTTTCTTGCACGAAAATATTCTCTTATTGGCAAAAGGGTTAAGATTTTATGACATTTGTAACCTTATCAAAGGTTAGGTACATGTTTTTTTTTTTTAAATTGAAGCTTGCATTCCAATGTTCATAGTTGAATAAGATTAAAGTTGATTGTGTAATTTGTGATGATAGAAAATTGACAAGTTGATTCTCAGTTTACGTCAAATAAGTACGTTGAGATGCTTCATTGTCACTATCTCATACGTACTTCATGTAGATTTTTTATTTGAGTTGAATATCAATTTAATGGTGGAAATTGTCAGTCTCTAAGCAATGTCATCAAATTGTGTTTGGTTAGCATTTCAAATCATAAGACTGCATATCTAAAATATGATCTTGCATTGTTGAAATTTGGTTTCTTTGACAAAGGTTTTTTTTTTTTTTTTTATTTGTTATTTAATCATGGTACATAAAATTTATAAATATATAATTACATAGTGCTAGATTATGCCTTATCTTGAATTTTTAAACTCTTTAACATAGGTCATTGGTACCTATCCACTATTTTGTACGGAGTAATTTGTATTATCCTCGAGAGTCAAGATCAGTAAAACTCTCTTGATCTCTTCTCTCTTGTTCATGGATGTAAATTGTCATTATAAACCACGTAAAGTTTGTGTGTTTAAATGTTGTTCCACTTATCTCTTAATTTATTGTCTATTAAATTTATTTCAATTTTAGATTTTTTTGTGAATTGATGCGCTTTTTGAGTTTTATGTTAATAACTAGTTAATGTCCAGACTCATCATACATAAATTTATAAGGTTGATCTAAATTAATTAATAAGGTTTAGTGATTAATTAATAAGGTTTAGTGTTGAATAATATAAATAATAATCTATATCATATTTTATTAATATGTTGAACAATAGAGAGGTTATAGATATGAAGAATGTTATACTTCGTATCATCTTTCATCAATATATATGATATATGTCAAATTTAAATAGAGAATATATGAAAAAAAAAAAAATTCAAGTAAATAAATGTTAGTATAGAGTGTTAAGACTAAACAATACTATAGAGTACTATTCAATGTGTTGAGAGAAGGGTGATGACACATGTGACACCAAATCATATCGAAAAAGAAGGGTGACACATAGCGTTAACATGTTGTTCTTATGAGTTTTAAAAATATTACTAGAAATTATAAATGAGTTGTTTCTTAAAAGCATGCAACTAAGGGCATGTTCACATATACTGAACTGAGCTGAACTGAACTGATTGGAGTTAAGCTTAACTAAACTGAATTGAAATGAACTGAACTGAATAGAGCTTAAATGAATTTATGAGAGAAGGAAATTAGGAGCTGAACTTAAATGAACTGATTAGAGCTGAACTGAACTGAACTGAAATTAAGCTGAAGTAAACAGGCCCTAATAAGCTCTCATTTTCTCGTATTACGCAATAACAATACCACAAAGACTAGACTTCCAAAGTTCCAAGTTTTTTAATTTTAGAATAAGCTACTAATTACTTCTTCTGTCCTTTTTTTTTTTTGCCCCGTTTGACTTTTTAGCAACTCTAAGACGCATGTTAAAACGTACGAAATATATATACTTCATTTGGTTACGCATAAAAATTTGATATTAATAAAATATACAATGAGACGAATCTAATAGGACCCACATGTATTATTAGTAATTGATTAATGAGAATTTAAGGTCAAAAGTTTTTGAAATTTGACTCATTTATCTGTAATGGGACAAAAAAAATTGGAGACAAAGAGAGTACTAAGTAACAAGAGCTTCAAAGAGTAGCAAACTAGCCACCAAATTTTGGTTGCAATCACTGAATAAAATCAAAGCCTAAAATATTGCAACAAAAAGAAATCTCATTACTTAAGCAATGTCCAAATTTTAGAAATTGTGAGTTGTGAATTTTTGATTCCCAAAAGTTAGCAACACGAGAGAAAGAGATAGTTGTAGGATCCCAATTTGTGTTGTACATTGATAAGCACTTTTTATGTTACTCGAACTTTTCATTTCAACTCATGTATCTGTGTCGAACTCTCGATACTCGAACATAAATATAACACCCAAACACTTCACTTTTAGTTCAAAATCATGGAATTTTTTCACAAAATTTATCGAATATGGATAATCGGATTATCAAATTCAAATAACATAGACCACTTTTCATAAAATCTAGACTGAGATTGAATCAATCAATCAAAACCAATTATGCATCCACTTCTTTGGGCCAACATTCGGTTTCCTAAAACTAAACACAAGAATTCACTCATTTAGAGCCCATACTTTCTTCTCACAACATTAATCAATCTCAAACCAAAACCCCCCTTTTTCCTTAAACCCTCCTCAAAAACCCTACAAAAATTACCTTCAATTTCTTCATCCATTTCCTAATTTTCCCCAAATTAAACCCCCATTTCAGCAAAAATGAGCTCCAAGCTATTTGTGATCCTAAATCGGTTGACTTATAGGTTAAATCAAGCTCAAATTTCATCAGAAAAAGCCCTAATTTTGAGCTCAAATGTTATCAATGGTGAGAGAAACTACCACACTAATACGAAAACTAGGGAGACATTGTATTCAAAGTTAAGCCCCTTAGGAAGTCCTGGAATCAATGTGCAACCAGAGCTTGATGGTTGGGTTGATAAAGGCAAGAAGATTAGCGTTGCTGAGTTGTTGCGAATCATCCATGATTTTCGCAAGCGCAAGCGATTTACTCAAGCTCTCGAGGTAGATTATAATGCTGAATTTTGTTGTAATTTTGTTGAATTTGGAAGCTTTTAGATGTTGGGTATGTTTGATAATTAGATTTTGAAATGTTATTTTTTTTAGAGATGATATTTTGAATTAGAATGTGGAAGAATTTGTTCTTTTTATATTTGAGATCATATATCTACATGATAATTTGTGGGATGTAATGTAATTTGATTCTGGATTTGTGGGTGTTTGTTGAAATGGGTACTTGTGAAGATGTATAGAGTAAAAGAGACTTGATTATGAATTTGCAATAATGGGTAAAGGATAAAAGGAGGAAGGTTACAGTAGATGATAACGAGCATAAAACTTTGTCGCGTCCATGAGCATGATTGTAATATCGGGGTTTGTCGATTTGAAATTGAATTGGAGGTAGTGGCTATGTTAAATGATGAGATACAATTTTAGAAAGGGAGAACCCACTGCTACATTTGCAGGCTCACAATTTTGTCCCCTTCCTCAGCTAGTATGCTTTTGAATTCTTGATTTTAACTATATAAGTTAATAAGTAGTTGGCTGGATGCTTTGATTTGAAACAAGGTCTAAAGTTTTATGTTTTGACTCTTGATTGGTGGGAAGCAAACTATTTAGATCAATTGACCTTGTTCGGCTCTAGTAGGCCTTAGAAATTTGTGGAGTTTAATACGAAGTACTAGAGTAATTTGGGATAAAAAAAGTCTATAGGTTATTAGTTTAAGCTATTCAATTCTAGAGTTATCTTTGTAGAATAGATGAATGTATGCCAATTAATATGATGAAATAGTCCTTCCAGCCTGGAGTCTATACTCAGTGATGTGCTTATTTCTTCCTTTGTTTAATTTTCTAAGCCTCTTTTTCTTTGGATGGAATAATATAGTTGCTTGCATTTGGACCTCTATAATGGATATGTTCCATGCTTTGTGTTTGTTTGAGAGAATTGCCATCTTTAAACCCATGCTTCAAACCCCCAATAAATGAAGGCAAGAAACTAATGGAGGTGAGCTGGTGAGGTTTGTCGCATACCTAAATTTCAGTCATCAAATAAAAGATAGAGATTCATTCCTGAATTGAAACAAACACATGGTATTCTAAATCATGTTCCATAATCATACTACCTTGTTTTTATTCCCTATTCTAAACTCATAACCACTTGTGAACAAAACACCCTTCAAGTGTTGCAATTGGTGAGACACTGGATTTTCTTGCTGTTCACTTGCTCATTGGACTATAAGTTGCTGAGAGCTTTGTGTATGTGCTTTTAAATTAGCTTATGTTGACAAAGTTGCTTATAAATGTGGTGCTGTGAGTAACGAGAGGAATAAATGCTGAGAATTTTATTCAATTTGGAAACTTATTTCTTACATTTCTTTGCTCTAATAAGGATCAGTATGCACTTTTATTTACTAGTAGTCCTGCTTGTCAGTACTATCTTGCTGTCTTGTTTGATGATTGAGCTGCATGATTTGTTGGCCAAACAATAGGTTTTTGCTTGTAGGAGTTAGGCAGAATGCTTCAAAGTATGTCATAAAATGCCTAAGAGCTGAGTGCATAACAAACTACTCCCTCAATCCCTTTTTGTTGCCCAATGAAGACTTGAGGTTTGGCATGCTTTTAATGAAAGTAAAAAGTAGAGAGAATAAAGTTGGTGGGTTGGGGTGGGCTCCAAAGGACAATTAAAGGGGCGCAAAGACGTAAAATTTGCCAAACCTTGATAGAGCAAATATTTGACATCCCTTGAGGGATAATGAGACAGACGGAAAATGATGGAAGGATGAATGTTGAAGTCAACTGGGTTTATGTTTTTTAGCAGGGTTCTAAGCTTATGATTGACCCATTTTTGCAGGTTTCAGAGTGGATGAACGAGAAAGGCGTCTGTAAATTTACACCAGTTGAACATGCGGTGCAGTTAGATCTTATTGGCAGAGTCCGTGGTTTTTTGTCTGCAGAGAGCTATTTCAATAGCTTATCTGAACAAGACCAAACTGATAAGACATATGGCGCTCTTCTTAACTGCTATGTGCGACAGCGACAACTTGACAAGTCCTTGTCACATTTACGGAAGATGAAAGAGATGGGTTTTGCATCAACAGCTCTTACTTATAATGACATTATGTGCCTATACACAAATATAGGGCAATATGAGAAGGTTCCAGAGGTGTTAGTTGAAATGAAGGAAAACAAGGTTTTACCTGATAATTACAGTTACAGACTGTGCATCAATTCATATGGAGCAAAATCTGACATTGAAGTGGTGGCAAATATTTTGAAAGAAGCAGAGACTCAACCTCACATGGCAGTAGACTGGAACACCTATGCGGTTGCTGCTAATTTTTACATTAAAGCAGGGCTCACAGACAAGGCAATCGATGCCCTGAAAAAGGCAGAGGTAAGAGTGGATAAGAAAGACGGCACTGCCTATAACCATCTGATTACTCTCTATGCCAAACTAGAAAAAAAGGATGATATTTTGAGGTTGTGGGCACTGGAGAAGAGTGCTTGTAAGAGATGTATCAACAGGGATTATATTAACGTGTTGGAATCTCTTGTGAGGATTAATGCAGTAGAAGCAGCTGAGGAAGTGCTGAAGGAGTGGGAATCATCTGATAATTGTTATGATTTTCGGGTTCGTAATATTGTTACTGTAGCATATTTAGACAAAGGAATGCTCGAGAAAGCAGAGGCTATGCTTGTGTCAGAGAAAGAAAAGGGTTCAAGTCCCAACACTTGGGGATTATTAGCAGCAAGGTACCAGGAGAAGGGTGAGATGCATAAAGCAGTCAGCTGCATGAAAGCAGGCTTGTCATTTTATGTAGAGAATAAGGGTTGGAAGCCTAATAGACAAGTCATTTATTATCTTCTTAATTGGATTGGTGATGAAGGCAGTGTTGAAGATGTTGCATCCTTTGTCAAATTGTTGAGAAATGCAGTTCCGGTGAATAGACAGATGTATCATGCTCTAATTAAAGCCCATCTACGACATGGCAAGGATGTGGATGGGATTTTGGAGGAGATGAAGGTTGATCAAATAAAAGAAAATGAAGAGACAAAAAGTATCCTTAGTACGATACCAACGAACACTTGATTACCTTCTACAACTACTGCTATTTTTTGCAGGAAATCTGTAGTTCCGCATGATCACACTGTCCACAGAAGCTCGTATATTTGTTCGGGTTATGCAGCTACTGCATCAAGGATGAGGTATAGTTAACAGCATTAGAAGCATGTAGATGCAGTGACTTGCCCAGTTGCCACAAGCACTTTTCGGGCAAGGAATTACACTAGTGATCATAACTTTTCCATTATTCTGATCTTATGTAGGTCTATACTCTGTACCAAGGAAAACTAGATCACTCTGTAAGACGCAAGACAATTATCCATTTACCTTTTATATTTTCAGGATGTGCCATTAAATCGATCAATAAAAATCAAGTTTGTTACTCTTAGCAGTTTATTCATTTGTATTCAACAAAATCCAAAGTTTGACCATATAAACTTAACTTTATTATTGTTGACACAAGTATAACTTCATCGTATGTTTTTATCTTAAGATTTCTTATTTGGTTTGGAAAAATTTTGCTATAAGAATAGGAAAGAAGAAAAAAAAAAATAATAAAAGAACTAGCTGTTATTTACATTGTGCTGCTAAACACATATTGAGTTAACAAATTCTTATGTGAGGGCGTGTGGCATAGCTATATGGTGTGAAGTGTGTACCCACTACAGTTGTCATATATTTATGAGACAAGTAATTGAGTAATGGAAAAAATGGGATTACTTTTTTAATAGTTTTTTTTTTAAAATAATAATAATAATTACTTGAATAAACAAATGTTGCTCATATAATGAATTGAGCTTACTTTTATGGAAAAAAAAAGCTACCATAGCCGATTAAAAAAAAAAAAAGGTTACTCATATGAATACAATATTGCTTTTTAAAGGATGTTGCTATATTGTACGAAGTATTATATTATTACGTGGCTGACCACACTGTAAATTGTAGAGTTAATTTTTACTTTCATTTTACAACAAATGCATTGCTAATTGTTGCACTTCCTAGTTGTCATTTTGACCATCGATTTTTTTTAATAACATAAAAAGTACATTTAGACTAATCCAGCTATATTGTACATGATCTTTACCTGCAACGTTAGGATATTTACACTAGTAATAATAATGTAAATCCTTGGTAAATTCATCTCAATTTATAGTTTCACATTACCAACTTTTATATTTTTAGTTTATCTATAATTAATTTTAAATAAGAAGATTAAAAGTATATATCAACTTAAAGTCAAAACATTATGAGTAAAAACAAGAAAGTTCAACTTAAAGTCAAAACATTACGAGTAAAAAAAAAAAAAGGTGCACTCAATGTTAACATAAAGTGCACAAAGTCAAAATTTTGCATCTATGGAGAAACAAAGGCAGTATTATGAAACAAAAGCAGTGCATATTTATCCAATCCAACTCGTAAGTAATTAGTTTCTCATAAACGACCCAAAGTGTGTGATACCATTCTCTCAAAACAGCGAAAACTTTAAGACTAGAAAAGCAGTTGTACATATAACTCTAGCCTAATACTCCATGTAATGACAGATCTACTCGTACCCTTGAAACTATCACCACCAAACAACTACAAAGAGAGCAACCTCAGACTAAAAAAGCCAAAAACATAAACGTCAACTACACCGCGAAACTCTTGAACCTGTATGGTGTAGAAAAAATCACATTTGGCCATAAATCAATATGTAAGACTACTGTGCAATCAAGTTGCTGACTGATGTTATTTTCGACATCCTGCAAATTCACATCATAGTACCTACTCTGAAAAGATTGATTTAAGCTCTCCATTGTTCTTCATCTCCAAAATGATATCACAACCTCCAATCAGCTCACCTTTGTAGTAAAGTTGGGGATAAGTAGGCCAATTAGAAAACGTCTTCAGCCCCTGTCTAACTGCATCGTCACTCAGAATATCAAAAGATCCAAATGTCACACCTTCATCTGTCAAGGCATTCACCACTTTGGAGCTGAAACCACATTTAGGAGCATCAGGGGTGCCCTTCATGAAAAGCATAACAGGTGAACTGCTGACCAATTTAGTCAGACGATCATCAAGTGTTTCATGAGGAATAATGACCCCTTTATCAGCCAAAACCCTCCTGAGCTCACCACTTTTCTGCATCTCCAATACAACATCTGACCCACCAATGAGTTCACCCTTAATGTATAGCTGGGGATAGCTGGACCAATTTGAATGAACCTTGAGACCTTGACGAACTTCGGTATCAGTTAAGACATCAAAACTCTTATATTCCACCTTTTCTTGCTCAAGAATGTCAAGGACTTTTCGGCTGAAACCACACTTTGGTTCTTCTGGTGTACCTTTCATGAAAACCATAACAGGACTCGAGTTGATGAGGCTTACAAGGCGAGAAGTAACAGATGAACTTAAGCCAGTCGATGCTGATACACCCCCCTTTCCACTTCCTGATTCAGATAATTTCTCGTCAATGACATTAGTGGAATCTATCTCATGATCACTGAAAATGTATTTCAGCTCATCACCCTCATGCATAGAAATGACTATATCACATCCACCAATAAGTTCACCTTTGCAGTACAGCTGAGGATATGTTGGCCAATTGGAGAATTTCTTCAACCCATCTCTAACTTCTTGGTCAGTTAGGATATCAAAGCTTCCAAACTGGAGTTTCTCTTCATTCAAAATATTAACAACTTTCTGGCTGAATCCACATTTTGGCTCTTCTGGGGTTCCTTTCATGAATAGCATAACTGGATGAGAATTAATCAACTGCCGTAGTTTCTTGTTAAGATCATCACTGCGACCAGTCTGATTGCCCACTGGAACTTCCCTATCATATTTAGCAAATTCTTTCACTGTTTCTAGGACAGTGGCTCCAGCAGCCAAACCAAGACTGGCAGGTGCAGCAGGTTCATCAGGATTGACTGATCCAGCAACTTTGGCAACTTTGTTAGCCAAGCTGGATGGATCTGCTCCCTCCAATGTATCGACAGCCTTGCCACCCTAATGAAACAGGAGATAAGATTATCATATTGGACAAACTAATTGCAAAAAATTAACCATCATATTATAATGACCAGAAATTTTGACCAAATATAAGACTGAAAATTTACCATCAAAAAATGGACAAAATTTGCTTTGTATAATTAAAAATCAAAAAATAAAACACCCATCTTGCGAAGTTAAGGATACAAGCCTACAAGAGATTTGCAATTGTACAGGTGAGTCTAAGTCTGATTTCCCTCACTCTGCCCTAGGAAGAATCTGCATTACAGGCATTGAGCTAATATAAAGGTGTTATATCACAGTACTTTAGTGTCAGACATAGGAATCACAATAGAATAGCAAATGATGATAGCTGAAACAGTTATCTATGTTAGATAAAAAAAAAATTCAAGACAACTTATAAGCTTACCTTAAAAAAGACGAAGTAAGGCACAGCAGAAACAGAAAAAGCCTCAGATATCTCTGGTTGCTCCTCGGCTTCAACCTACAAAGGGGTGTACATATATCAGCCCTCACGCAAATCTAAAACTAACAAGCCCTCACACAAATTTAGAAATCATTTCAGTGTCAGAAACAGAATAAGATGAATAAATACCTCATCATGTTTTCCAATGTAAAGGTTCATCACTCACACATCCAAAATATTTTCACATACAAAAGATCATATTTCCTGGAAAAAGAGGGTACTAAAAGAATCATTCTTCCTCCGTTCTTTTTAATCACTACATTAGTACATTGGGGTTTTCACACTTGCCAATGCACATGTTATACCATTACTATCTTAAATTATATTTAGTAAAAATAAAAGGATCTTGCTAACGAGCGCCCGGAGGCATTAGATAAGGAATAATTATATTGGTTGAAAGGGTATTAAGTTAGGAATTCATGACAAAATCACGCGTCGTTCGATGTAATTAATGTTAATTTTACTCTAATATTTGCACTTTAATTCTCTTATCTAATGCCCTGGGGCGCTCATTAGCTTTTTCCAAAATAAAAAAAGATTAATATTTTGAAGTACATATATATCAAGCCAATTCTAAAAAGACCCCACTTGAATAGTGTAAAAGACAATCAAAAGTGTGTGTGTAGTGTAAAATGTCAAATGTTGCGATAAAAAAAGAACAGAGGAAGTACATAAAAATGAAATATATGGTACTGCAATAATAAAGCACGCTTTTCAGAAGCAAATAGAGGCATACAGCATTACAGCTATCTAGGAGCGGTTTTAAAAAAAGGGGGATAAAAGTGTTTTCTATGAAGAATCATGAAAATCAGCATATTTATAAACAAGCTAAGCATGAGAAAAGAGAAGGAAAAAAAAAAAAAAAACTAAAACTGCTTCTTCAAGTGTACACTACGAATGACAATGGCAATCGATGAAATTAATAGATTTAAAAAAAAAAAAAAAAAAAAAAAAAAAACATGGTAATACAAGGGCTGAGCATTATGTCCTCCAGATGCTATCTACTTCACATACCGTGAGAATCTTATTAATCATCTATCCAAACTTTTAATTCCCACCATTCAGCTGTTGGAAATAGCTGACTACCCAAAAGCTTTGGGTGAAGAACAAATATGGTCCATAATTCGCCACCTCCAACTCAATCCTGCTAAACTGTTTGACAAGTCTACCCATAATTCGCCACCTCCAACTCAATCCTGCTAAACTGTTTGACAAGTCTACCCACAAGTCAACAACTGTGTTAGGCAGTGACTACACTCAACTTAAACTAGAAAAATGAGGAGCTGGAGTTGAACATGCAATTTAAGTCTTGAGTTTCCAAGGAAACCAACATAAGATTTCACAAACTTCAAAAACTCAGCCCTTCAAATAGGAGCTTATTGCATATGACTATATAGAGTAAAACCCGGGTCACTGGGAAATGGAGATAAAATCAAGAACAGCTAGCACACTAACGTGAGCCTCCAGTGAAACCTGAAATCCTACAAGCACAACCTACTACTCATTCCACTTAAGAACATAAAATCTTTTAACCAAGCTGCGACGAAGAGAGCTAAACATAAACTAGATCAACTCCCAATCCACCAACCCTTCTGTTCAAGTCCATACATCACACGAAAGATCACGAAAGTCTGTAGAATCACACCCTCAAGAAAGATTCAGCATCCCTGAATCCAATACCCCCGCCCCCGCCCCGTACAAAACACCAATCCAATAATTTAATGACACAGATGCTGTCATTGAAAGAACCAAAGGATGTATTATGTATAGCATGACTAATTGAAGTGGGCAACACTATTAAGATCATACAGTTAAAGAAAAAGAAGCCATTAAACTCTATTACCATCAATTCCTAAAATGACAATAATATATTTCAAAATAATCAGATTTTTAACATACTGATGCTAAAACAGACAAAGTCATTAAACCCTAATTAGAAACATGAAAATCACCAATTCAAAAACAACACAAAACTAAATGATTCAATCAAAAAACCCAATTTGCAGAGTATAATAAATCAACCAAGTAAAGTAAACCCACAAAAAATAAACCACTAAATCAAGTTTTTTTTACACATTTACAACAATACAGCAAAACCCAACATCATATAATCATCAAAAATTAAACATTTTAAAAATTACCCTGAAGAAATGGGCATGAGGAAAATCAGTGGAAAGGTGAGAGAAAACTTGGTCCATGTGTTTGGAGGCTTCACACCAAGTCGCCCAGAAATGTAAAATGACAGGATTACCCTCGCTCACCGCCTTATCAACCTCTGCTTTAGACCCCGCATTTTTCACACTTCCACTCGCCATTTTTAGGTTGTATGATCTTCAATCTCTCTCTTTTCGATTAAGATGAGAGAGAATCACAAATTAAAGTGATTGATTGATGAGATTTGGTTTTCTGGGAAAATAAACCCAGAAATTTGAAGAGAAAGAGAGAATAATTGTGGGTGTGACTTGTTGTGACTTGTGAGTGAGGGTTGTTTGAGAGTCAATGTTAACGCCGAATTCCTGAAGAATCAATCGATCTTTGCCGTTGATTTTCTTTTGGTTTGATGGGCTTTGATGCTCGACTAATGTCACGTATTCAATTCCAGAACCTTCTCTTTTTTGCTAGGACAATTGACAATTCACTTTATCAGTTTAGGCTTTAGGGTTGGGTCATATTTGGGTGATGATTTCGGAGAATTTTAATTCTAACTAGATTAGTCCTGCCCGTGCGATAATACGGGTCAAATTATATCGTATATTTATATTTACACTGTATTAAAATATACGTAGTATGTCACATGACACTTATCACCTGTATCAGAAATATACTATACATCAGTAACATCTTTGTAACATCTTCCCATGTACTATACATTGGAAACATCATTGTAAATCCGTAATACAAGACTAATAAGAAGTGAATTAACATTCTTACCAGTTTTGCTATCTTTTAAGTATATTTCATATTTAAGTACTACTTGTGTAAAACACTAGATACTTTGTACGAAGTATAATTCATCAATTTGAGAGTGTTTACTTAGGGTCTGTTCTCATACGTTTATTTTCAGTTCAGTTCAACTCAGTTCAGTTCCTAATTTCCTTCTCTTATAAAATATTCAGTTCAGTTCATTCAATTTAGTTTAGTTCGTTCAGTCTATGAGAACAGACCCTTAGTATATATAACTTTCTTATTATGCCAATATAAATATAGCTAGACAATGAAAATAAATATGTCGTCGCTTAAGTCGAAGTTAATAAAAGCAAAAGTTGTTATCTACATTCGAGTGCGATGGTTCACCCTTTTTTTTATTATTAAAGGATGATTACAACTTATTTAATCATTAAATGAGCAAAGAATAATGTTAGTGCATTTTGCACCTTGTGTATAAAAAGTTCTATAATAGAAGAGGATAATGAGAGAAGGGATTATGATTTACAAGGTAAAATAAATTTGACTTGTTATAGAGAAATTCATGAATTGATGTTTGACATATGACAATGTATATACTTTTATCTTCAAAATGAGAGTTTATTTATTTATTTATATCTATCCTGGTTATTATTATCCCTTTTTATACTATAATTTTTACTCTATCATAGTTGATTAATTATATGTATCAATGGCAATATGGCCTTTCACTTATGTTAGCTTCATTTGTAGAATAATTGTAGGGCACTATATCATAAGAACAAAAACTCACGAGGCTGATATTAAACTCATTAACGACAATAATAGACTGGATTACATATTAGTACTTTGTACAACAATGTATTTTGATATGAAAAGTTACGTGCATAATTAATATAAAGGAAAATAGGGAAGACGTTTGAACAATTACCAGCCTTATAAGTTATAACCAAATAACATTCATTATTTGACTCAAATCAGTTTAACATTTAAGGCCTCAGGGCCGTTAGGTCCATCCTGGACATCGAACTTGACCTTCTGACCCTCGGCCATGTTTCCTTGGCTCACGGAGGCATGAACGAAGATATCAGCACCACCATCGTCGGGGCCTATGAATCCAAAACCCGCTTCATTACTGAACCACTTCACAGTCCCGGTAGCCATTGCAAACTTCCGTGGTGATCGATAGTTTGCGTATAATAATGGCGCGACGGTGATGTTATTGTATCCTTGACCCTTCTTGTATTGTTGTATGTTGTATGTTGTAAGTGGTAAGGTTACAGGTTTAATAGTAGGTAATGAAACTCCTCAAAATCTCAAATACACTTCCTCCATTTCATTAACATTATTATTCAATTATTGACTTGATCACAATTTTCTTATATATCATTATTATGTAATTATGTATATGTTGCTTGATTAATATAATACTCCGTATCAATATATAATTTCCCATGTGTAATATTTATTAATGGATAATCAAAAAGTATTAATGATTAACATTATACATTGGCAATAATTACGTATAATTTTTTTGAACGGGACGTATAATTATTAGTTGGTGTATAAGAAGAATTATATTTAAGCTTTGTCAATGATAGATTTGTTAGGAAAACAGAAGAAACTAGCAAGTTTCCTAACGTGGAAGAGTAGTGCAAAGGCACTAATTTATGCCGGCCCAGCAGTCCAGCACGAGATAAATACACCACGTAATGACAAACGGGTAACAATAACGGGTACTCCCTTCATTCCTCAAAGATTATTTTATTCACTTATAACTGGGTATATTTATATTCGTTTCAATGTTATTTTTCATGAGTAGATAATTGTTCGGTAATATTATCATTTAACGCATCTGAAATGTGTTGTCAAACATAACCTTAGCCTAACTATATCCAGTTATATATGTCTTGTTAGCTACTCGTACAAAAATATTTGATGTGCATGACTTTAATACTCCGTATTATTGTACACCAACGCGCCCACAAGTTTTTGTTCAAGAAATTGTTGCATCGTCTAATGAACAAAGAAAATTACATTTGTTACATGCATAATTATGCTGGTCTCACATCTTTATAGTAGATATCTTTTGACTTTCATTCAATTAGTTATTTAGCTCTAAAAACTTGAAATTGTAATTTCTTTCCTTTCATAGATAACTTTTAAAATATTGATTAGTTTACATTCTTTACAATAAATACCTTAAGAACCAACAACCATGAAAATAGCCTTCAAGATGAACGATGACCATATATTGGGTTCTTCATGAACAACAAGATATAAGCACAAATGGTCTTTGGATGAATTCAATATGAAGCAAAACCCGTGTGTACAATATTCACGTATTATTTTCGACCAAAGCTAAGGCTTTTAGGGTTGATTTCATCTAAGCGTATCAAGATTGCACTAGAAGTCTCATCTTCAATCCATCTAATGGCTTCCCTCTGCAATAGCTTTGAAATCTGTCAAACAAAAGACAAAATATCACCTTATGCAGTTATGCTTTAACTGCCTTCTTTTCTCTAATGAAATGCAGATTCAAACCAAGTAGAACTAGCCATATATAAGAGCACTAAATTAAGAAAGTTTGCGTAAAAAATAGGTGAACAAAGAGAAATAGTGTACTACAAAACAATGTCTTTCAAATGTATTGCATGCAAGAATGAATAAAAATCTCATCTCCTGAAAAGAGGAAAAATTGGAGGGTAGCATACAAAAGTCCTATTCGCTATTTGAGGCGTCGGAAACTTGGAACATACTAATCAGCTTCCTTATTTACACTTGAGGTTCTTACGTACGGTTTATAATTGAAGATTGAAGAGATAAGTTCATTGATGTAAAAAAAAAAAAAAAAAAAAAAAACATGATTTTTGTTGATATTGGATATTAACTTGTATTTTCTCCTTTTGAAGTGGTAATCTTCATTGGGTCTATTATCATACTTATCAACATAATACGCTACAAGGGACGCATTTAAAGTGGGATGATAAGATTACTACTTCTACACAAAGCATCCTTCAACAAACCAGTGCAATAATGAGAACTTTAATCAAGCAAAGAATTTGAGGCAGATCAACAGTAATCAGGAAATTCAGGACATACCAATCGCTTGCGCTTTTCAGCATCTTGATCACCAGTTCCAATAATAATTTTCAGATCCCTAACCACTGAAACAAAAAACATGGCCAGTCAAGGTCATAGCCACAGCCTACATGTATTGTCATGACAAGAAAATAGGAAAAAAAATGATGACATACTAGGAATTCCAGAGAGTGTACGAAGGTGAATTTTCACAAGACGTATTGCTTCTTTAGCATCGTGATCTTGCAAGTCAAGAGACATTTCTTCTCGCATCTCGCCATCCCCACTACCATCACTGAAAAAAAAAAAAAAAAAAAAAGGTTACACAAAAGGGCCAAGGCACAACAAAATCCAACTATCTAACAAAATTCACCTGGTTTCAAAAATTTTTGAAGCAGATTCTTCGTCAGCTTCACGAGCCTTATTGTAAAAGAATTGTCCCTATATCCAGAAATAGATGCCATGAGAAAATAAAGTTATTCTGGAACAACCAAATTAAATGCCAGACAATTAACCAATTGCAGTGACAGCAATCACAACATGGCCAAAAATAGACACATATAAGCATTTCAAACACTTGTGAAAAAAGGAGGAAAGCAAAGAGTTTCAAGATAGAAGCAGTGAATATCAATCAGTTTAAGTGATTGTCTTGAACATTAACACTTATATATGCCTTGTTAATAAGTGTTTTTTTATTAGTTTTAACATGCATAACAATAACTTTTAAGTTTCATGTTGATGGAAGTGTTGCCAATAAAGTGAAAAAATTCTTGTCGAATCCAAACCAATGTAATAAGTATTGATAAAACGCTCAAGTGCATTAGTATTAATTACACAACCATTGTTGCATATTTATAACATGTCACTGATAAGCTTAACCTGGAAGAAGAAAGAATTCCAACCTTTTCCAGCAGTAATGTCGCCCGTCCACGATCACCCTTTGCAAACGCTTCTGTAGCCTGTCAGGAAAACACAAATTCTTGTCAGTGGCAACATTCAGCGACCATTAAAAAAAGGGTATTCATCATGGACAAGTAGACAAAATTTATCGAAGGTTTCATGGTTGGACAAAATTAAAAAAAGAAAACTTACAGCTTCATAATACTGCTTCATTGTTTCACGATGCTCTTTTACAGCTTTGCGAAGGATATAATAGCTACCCTCTTTGGCATCATCTACATAACAGAATATTATGATAAAATAAGAAAGCTCATCCAAGTCAGGTACAAAGCACACAAAATAAAAGCTTCTTAACATAGTTAACAATACACTGAGATGCTAAATCTTCCATCAGATAGCAAAGCCAAGTCCAAATGAGGTACAACTCTGTTTACAATTTCTATAAACCACCACATAAAGCTAGAAAATACTCTCCCCAACTCTAATGATGGAGCATGTTTGGCTATTTCCACTTTGTGATAAATCATGTCCATGAAGTTCCATGAAGCATACTTCACTGGATCATCACTCTTGTGTGTTGTGTCCAGTAACAGCACTGCGACCGCACATGAATACCACAATCCAAAGATATGCATGAATCTACACGCAGCAGAAACACATACGTCTATGCAGCAGGCAAGGACTAACCACGAAGGGGAAAAAGCAGCAAAATCAGGCCACACGTGTCATTGTTTGGTGTCTTATATGTGCGCATTGAAAAATAAATTCTTCAATGATGCCATGTTACTTATTTAATTTTCTTTCTCTTTGTAATAAATACCTTAATCCTTATTAAAGCTTATTTAAAAGGGCTGTGGATTTATAATAAGGTGAATAAACATTCTTTTTAACCATTAGAGTCCAAATGATATAGTTTTTCTCTATTCTTTCAGTCAAATTTAACATGTATTCCTTTACACAGACACTTTATTTGATGCAAGTTATAACCAAGAATTAGATTTTCATACAGAGTTTAGAATATGGAAAACACCTTTCACATTGTTAAAGTGAAGACTTGTGGCCTTAACCTCACAATCCTCAGCAACATCATTCAAAGGCTCAGTCACAATTTCTCTGGTTGCCCAAGATCTTGTAGCATTTTTCAGAACAGGAGCACTCACAATCAAGTCTGCTTGCTCACAACTATCACTGGATATCCTTGATGGGATTAAATTGGTTCTCATGGTCCTACTCTCATTACTGCAGAGAACAACCAAAAGTGGTTACTAAAGCTCAAAAAAAAAAAAACCCCTCTTCTTCCCAAGGCAGAATTATTTCTCCAAAAACTAATTCATACTCTTAGCCTAGGATCATTTACTGCCCCAAATCAGATTCCTGGTGTTCAGGGAAAAAGATATAGGTAGAGCAACTTCATTCCTCCTCGTAGTATAAGGAGTGGGTCTGAGGAGAATTAGAAGTAGAAGTTACTGCAGACCTTTGCTTTTGCACTTGATTTTCAAATGAAAGACCCTTGGAGTTCGTCTGCAGATTAATTTCCTGTAGATTGTAAGTAAACAAAAGGCATAACAAATGACTAGTGAAACAAACATTAAATAGTCATGTTCATCTAAGCAGGAAATGTGAGTAGGCAATGAAAACTAAAAGAGATATGCTAAAAATATTAAGTTGTCACAGCTCCTCAAATATTGCTTATATTGGCTATATGTAGAATTTAATTTAATTACTTTCCTTGACAATCTGAAAGCAATACCATCTGACACCTCGTTTTAGAAGTTGGTAAGTTTGAAAATGGTCCAAGGTATTACGACTATCAGGTGTGCATTTAAGCTTATATATTTGGTGAGCAAGGCTTCAAAGTGCAGAGAAAGCCTAGTGAAAGCAACTATAAAAAAGAAAGCACGCATTTTTTACTTTCACCATTTGCCTCTACTTTGAATGAAATGATACCTGATGTCACATCACAATAACACCATACATTTGTGTAACCTTTAACTTTCCATCCTACTAAAATAACTAATTGGTCACCTTAATTCACTTAACAGTTAACCATCAGCTCTAACCTAGCAGTAAGCCAATTAGTGACTAGCAAATTATCAATAAAAATATCAACTAGCTTAGGCTTGTCTCTACCATCTTCTGATGAGAATAGGGTCTGTAATGTGGCATGATTTCTAATGTCACAAAATAGCTATTCAACTTACTTGATGGTTTTTGTAATTTAATTGCACCATCTTATGTCTTATGAAGAGAGTCAGAGGACATTAAACACTTAACAAAAGCCCAGGGGAGATATCAAGCATGACAAAGAAAAAAAATACAGCATCTGGGGTCACGGGACACTCTTTATAACTTACAGAACCAGTGGACCATTCGAATATTATAGTTAAGAAAAGAAGATGATGTTCCATGAGGCTAAGATTGTGGACCTTAGACTTCCCAACAAAAATTTTATATCACTTGTTTGGGCAATAGATTTTTCAATCAAGAAATTAGCTCAAAATTATTTTCGTTTTCCTTGCCACTTCTACGAGTCCTGTCTATTCCTCATCATCTTACACTCCTTTCTCTTTAGCCTTCTCCATAAAGGAAAATACCTTCCCTATATTTATTTCAAGTACAACTTTGACAACAATTTGTTAAAAGTATATGCTTCAAAACATGTGAATGTTTGACAGAAAGACCAATACACTTGAATAACTGCTTTTGAAAGTCTTCCCTACATCTAGACAACAGCCTAAATGAGTGGAAAAACAATTTCAAATGGATAAATTTACCTCGCATTGATTCCTTTTGTCAATATTTTCAGCCATAAGAGCTAGCAATGTCTCCATGCTCTGCAAATTTTAAGCAAACATAAGCATGTGTTATTATCTTTACAAAAATGTAAAAGTTAAGGACTTAATATGCATATAATTTGTAACAATGGAACAGGCATTAAAGGGGAAAAAAAAAGGGCAGAAGTAATCAGATACTTCTGCCAGACTGCCACAAAAGGCTTGAGATATAAATAATATCGTGGATTAATTGATTAAATCTTTTTTGTGCTCCAATCAGGAATTTTTTTGTTCATTATTTATTTAGGAAATTCATATAGAAGAAAAAAAAATAGGAAATAAAACCTGTAAAAAAGAAAAATTAAAATATAGAATAGAAAATGGAGATATCAGCCCTTCCAGCCTTCTCTTGTAGAACAATTTTCATCAATGAGACATGAAATGCCTTTCTAAAATTTAGTAGTTCTGCAAGCACACCTGCTGCACTAGTCAACCAGATTGCCATCAAGGCAGCAACTTGAGAACCAATGTCCAATGCACTACTCACAAGCCTTTTTCCAACTGTTTGGATACCAGGTCAGAGAGCTCACAAATGAGAGAAGACAACAATAACATGTCATCTGAATTGTCACCATAAAACTTCACATGTATCCACAACAGAGATCCAATACTGTGTTTCCATGTATCCAAGACCCACCCCCTTTTTTTAAATCTATATATAGCAATTAAGGATCGTACATAAGGCAAGTTATGTGCAATGCCAATGTGTCACACACAAAAAACAAATTTGATCCCCTTTCTCTCCAATTTCCACTAATCACAATCCAGCTAACTTAGGCATTTCAGGGAATTTCCTCTCTCACCCCTGAGGCCAGCAACTATTTATCTTGCAGAAACCTAGTCATCTAATTAGCAATGGCATGACAGGCTGACAGCACCTAGTCACTTTACTTAGCTACCCTTTGGATTGTCATAAACCCGAAAAGAATCTGTTATTAATCACCTTTGCAAATATGATGAGGTAATTATCTGAAAAAAAAATAGTTATTTGAATTAAGTTCTATGTATAAGGTAGTTTGACAAAACTTTCCTATTTTCAAAAATATTTATCCGTAAAAAAGTTAAATTGAACCTTTTTTCAGCTTTGATGCACATCTCTGCAGATATTTCATAGCATTCACTTTTGTGGTTGGTAGACAACAATAAACTGGTTTTCTAACAGTTGATATACCATAGCTTCATCCTCAAGAACATAAAAAATTCTTGACAGTCACACATAAAAGGCAAATAGGTCATTAAGACCATAAAGCGAAGGAAAATGGGAAATGGAAAATTAGTGCGCATCACAATGATAAATATGGATGGGAAAAAGAAGCATCAATAAGTTGAGACATAATCATACCTTCTTCATGTCATATCCACAATGACCTGGCATTCATTCAAATTTTAAAAATAATTAGTAGTTGCACATAAAAAATTGCTCAACTTATTTCTTAAGGGTAATGCACAAGAAGAGTCAAAAATGCTATTATAGAACTTTTTATTTTTAATTAAAATAAATTTAAATCATAGACATTAACAGATATCTAAAGTTCTAATCTATAAGACAATGTACCACAAGTAATCTTAGGTGCTGCAATCACTTTTAATTTACTAAGGAAAGTTTTTAAGAATTGACAAAGATAGAAGTTGGCGGAATCCCACATAATTAAATGATCAGTTGACTGTACTATGCTCATAATCATGAATAGCACAAAGACATCCATGGGGTAAAATTGATAGCTAAAGTAAAGAAAGCAAAAGTGTTACCTAAGACTTCTCGAATAGCACTTCTTTCCAGTTGAGATCCATGTCCAAGCATTTCAAACAGAAAATTCTCAATGTCATCATTTGAACTGACATCGCTTGCTGATGAGGATCTATCAGAAGAAATCAAATTAGCATCCCTTGAAAGCAAGGGTTCTTCAGAAGTATTGACAGGCACTGAGAAATCATTTGCCTCTAGTTTCAAAAGCTCTGTCCCATTGAGAGCTCCATTTGATCCGGCAATGCGCCAAACACAATTTTTCCCACTAGCATGTGAAACAGGAGCCACTGAACGCATCTCTACTTTCACAGGCTTTGTTGCATTAGGACTTCTATTTGATCCAACAACGCGCCAAACATATTCTTTCCCAGAAAAACTAGAATTTGTACCCACCGAGGTAGGATTTCTTTTCAACTTCGACGCTTGAGAGCTGCTCCTATTAGCATCATGTGACTTGTCATAGTTATTATAATTAGGAGTTTCTGAAGAAATTTCACCATTAATCAATCCATTTGATTCATGGGTTGCATCGGCAGATGGACCTGTCTGCATCCCACACAATATATCACCAACTAAGGTAGCATCTCGGCCTGCCTTGCAAAAAGCAGAAGCAATCTCCTCAAGAGAAAATGCAGAACCAAAAGTATCAAGCAGACTCTTCAATGCCTTGTCTTCATTGTCCAGTTCTTTTGTAATTGTTGGATCCTCCATTCTGATGAGGCTTCAGAACCACAGAAAAAATGTTAGCATAGCACAATAACAAAATTTAAAGAAACATTTACGGAGTACTCCTGTATTCACAGCCATTCTGTTAGATGTAATGCACAATTTCATATCAATGGATCAGAAATGGCACAGGAATCTATCTGAAAACTGTAGAATTGAGCAATTGATTACCAACAAACAAGCTTACGAAACCAACAATGGCTTATTTTAACATGTCCTGAGGCATGGCATTACCACAACATATGCAAACTGAAAATAAGACTCCTGAGGGCGGGGGCAAGCTACAAATATAGAATGCTGAAATAGCATACCTCCTAAGGTAAACAAGGCAAAGTTGGAGCAACACGTTTGCTAGCACTAAGTTACTATAACCTGCCTTAGAAAATAATAAGAATTCCCCCACTATCATATGCCAGAATTAGAAAAAAAGTTTGATACGAGATACACACTTCAAAAATAGGTAACTAAAGCCAACTAAGGTCTCAAGCAGTCCCATTACTAGTGAGTGTCATACGCCAAAACAACGAAAAAGGAAGCTCATAACATGACTGCAATGAGATATAAGGCCTCAATACAAGACCAATTGTTATATTTTCCATTTGGCTTGCTTCCTAATCCCTCCATTTTTTTCCCTCTTCATCTTCATAATAAGTAATTTGCACTGAGAGCATCAATGATGCTCCTACATCGCTCAACGCCATGTGGTTCATATGATTGCAAAGAATAGACCAAATCAAAAACCAGCATTGCCTGTACTCTATATATTCCTTGCTATAATACGCTCAACTACAGTTGATAATCTTTAAATTCTCCAATTAATTCCTCAATTAATTGTTGTAATCATCACAGCAAGTTATATACTTGCAATTGTATAGTCCAAAAGTTATGCAATCAACAACAATATATAATTATGATCTGACAGTAATAGTAATACCATAATATTCTTTTATATATTTATGCAACCCAACCCACAAATGGTAACACCCATTTACAGAAATATATAATGATACCAAAAAATGAAAAAATGAATGCTAAAATAGGATACCCATAAAATCTACAAGATTAAGACAGCTTTAAATTTACAGTATTTATTATAAGAAAATCACAGAAAACCGATGATCATCAATTAAATATCACATTAATTACCCCCAACTAACTTAATAAACTGAAAAGAAATTGCATGAATAATAAAGCAGAAGAATTAAAAGAAAAATGCTTACTTTCTTTGACTTCTGGAGACTTTCTTCAGAATTTAGGGCTTCAATCTTCAAACCAACAAATAAGAAGGAAAAAAAAAAAAAAATCCCACTTTCTTTTTATAGTTACAAAATTCTAATCGCCCAGAAAATACAGTAATAATTTAGAAGGAAAAAGAAAAGATCATTGAATTTGAAAAAAGCAGTTAAATTGTAATACCCACTTCAATATTCATGATTTTGCATCTTTCTAAGCTTTCAAATTTCGTAGAACATATAAAAATATCAAGAAACAATATTACTGCAACCAGTAAGCGTTCTGCATTTGGCGTAATTTCCAAGCTATTATTTCATGCTTTTGGTATAGTATGTACTATACTACTCAATGAGTAAACAAATGGTTCATGGTTGTTGACTCCACATTGACCCATCAATTTCAATTTGGTCAAATGACAACTTTTTTGAAGCCATAAAAATCGTGTTTGCTTAGTATTAAATAAAGTGTTAAAAAAAAAAAAAAAAAAAAAAAAAAAGGTGTATATGCCCTAAAAAAAAGTGTATATAATCAATTTCACCCTTACTCTTATTATAAAATAAAATAAAATAAAAATGTTGAATTTTATCCTTTTGTTGAAGAGCGAAAATTACCAACTCAATTAAAGTATTAATTTCTACTAAAGTAACACTTCCTTGACTTAAGTGGTGGTTTTGTTTCTTTCAAAAAAAAAAAAAAAAGTGGTGATTTTGTTCTTGGAACAAATATCACAATTAATATTTAATATGGATCATACGTGAAAGATTGTTCTTGCAATTTTAGTCTAGTGACTCTAATCTAATGCATATAGCTTAGGAAGTATTTGATAACATTATATCCAATATTTATTCCATTACCAATATGTCATAACAAATAAGATTAGAGTTAGTTTTGGAGAGGTAGAGTAAGAGTTGTATAAACTTTTCCTCCATATTAGTTGCTTAATTATTAGGCAATCAATCTAACCCTATTTAGGTCATGTTCAATTCACCTTTAAAAAAATAATATTCAATAAAAATAATTTCAGTTTAGTAAACATAATTTTATTTCAGTAAAATAAGTTCAGTTCAATAAAATTAATTTCAGTTCTGTAAAAATAATTCAGTTCAGCAAAAATCTGTAACTCTAAAAAAGAAATTTAATAGAGAATCAGTAAAATAATTTCAATTCAAAAATTAATTTCAGTTCAGTTAAAAAATTTCAGTTTGATAAAAATGATTTAAGTTCAGCAATAATAAGGTGAAGTGAACGGAACTTTAATCATGGACAAGGTGGTTTGGACTATGTCACTTTAAATTGAAAAACTTGATAGAAAATGCAAAAGGCGTGAAGGATGGTTGTTGATGATAGGGCAATTGGGCATTGGAAGGAAGTAAAAGAAAGGTCACAACTCACAAAGGGAAATTCTAACTAAGAAAAAGCAATATATTGTTCCTTGGAAACAGTTAAGCAAATTAAAGAAGTTTTTTTTTTTTTTTTTGCCAATCTAGAAGAAAAGTAAAAACAAGAAGACAAGGCCAAATATAACCAACCATTATTTACAAACATGTCATAGTCCTTAAAAAAAAAAAATTATTACCAACCATTATTTACAAATTAAACATGTCATAGTCCTTCAAAAAATATTACAAATATTTCATAATATATAATGTATATGTAATAAATCAATACAAAGCATTGATTTATACTTCCTCATCCATTTATCGTTACCTATTATATTACACATAAACCATGACAAGAAAAGAGAGCGTAATATCGTAAAGTGAGTCCGGTTGTGTAAGATAATATCGTTGGAGGTAAAATACGGGAAAAAATCTTACCTAAATTTGAAACAAATTAAAAAAATTATAAACTTATGTAAAAAGCATGATAAAGTACAAAAATGGGATAGGTAGATTTTACATTTTCCATCATTACTTTCCAAACAACAATGTCGAACTAGCTTAACCGCTTGTCCTAGTTTCTTGTAATGTTATTTTGCTCTTTTGTTTTAAGAATAAGGTAGGATTTCAAATTCTACTCTTGAGCATTTCACCCCATAATTTATGAGAATAATAGGACATATAACAATCATTTGGTCTCAATAATTGCTTGGAACTCCTCCAAGTTTAGTATTGTCATATTATGCTTGCAGAAAAAACAATTTTCCATAATTTTTTTTCTAATCACAAATTACACTATTTATGGCCTTAGCATCAACAAACCAATTAAAACAGGTTAAAGAACAAGGGGGGGGGGGGAATTTTACAAAGAACAACAATCACATTGAAGAAAGCAAAAGATTGCAGCTTACCTAACAGTTTCTTGCAAAGCTTTAACAAGTTCATGCAAAGAAACGATTTGTTTGAAATGGATTTCATACTTTATAAATATTAACACCCCTAAAATCAATAATGTCAATGTGAAATTAAATAATACAGCACAATGGTAGGATTAAAAAGCTATGCACACTTGGGATTTTTGTTTCTCATAAGCTCCCATTGGTTGCATTTTTCTTCGGCGCAGAATCTTAAAAACAATCACCTACCCTCTAATGAAGATGTATCAAAACCAGGATGGACATGGCCCTTGCCGGTCCCGCCAATCGCAGGCTTGCCAAACCCGAATCCTGAGATCCATAGAGGCCACCAATCCCACCACGGCGGTGGTGGAGGTGGAGGTATAGGAGTAGGTGGTAGGGCTGCTGAATGCAACTGCCACTGTAATTGTGATTGTGAAAAGACTCAGTGTAAGAGTAATGCAGGAGTAGGTGGCGGGCCTGTAGTATGCCTGCCCATGACCTGTGATGGTATGAACGGGTGCAAAGTTGGTGGTGGAATAAGCAATGAAGGTGCTAGCAGTTTTCAAATTCCGCATTTTACAGTAGCAGGAGTCGGCTCAAATGGACAAAGTACATCCCCTGTAGACATAAATGTTACAGATGCAGGGCGTCACTGATGACTAATGATCATCATGTATCCAAGAAACACACAATAAAGAGTAGGATTTTGGCTTGTAAGGTTGAATCATGTAGGAAGGTATTGGTTAAATGGATTTGTTTCGTGGTTTGTATAATGGCTGTGTTCATGTATAGGCATATAGAACTGCTAATTAATTAAGATACTGAGTATCAACGATCAAGAATTCAAGATATAGAAGTTCAAATATGGTAATGTACGGCTGTACCTAACAATGCAAATTGGTGTGGTTTTCTCACAACTGTTTACTAAATTAGATAATATAATCAGCTTATGAGATTGAAGCACAGCATTAATTTGATAAGATAGATTTAACAACTAAGTGAACAACTCATCAAATCTTACACTTATAAACCACAGAACTAGAAAAGGACTTGAATTAATCTTTAAAGTCCAAAATGAAATCCAATATGTAAATAATCGTATGTCTAAAATAATATCTTGGTCTTTAATAAAAATGTTAAATAATGGAAGTACACAAGATTTTCTGAATTGAAATAAGTTGCTCGGACAAAAACAGCATGATCAACAAGAAGATACTTGATGCTTTTCTACCACCATGCCACTGGCATGAATCCAGATTTTAAGGACAAACTGCAAAACATGTACATTTACGTACAGATATGTTCAGCCTCTGAGCTATGAGCCTACTGCTGCAACTATTTAAGGCCTTAATCCATAGCAGAACTATTAACTGAAAATGGCACCCTCAAATTGGGCTTCACTTACTCTGTTGGTTTTAATACTCACCTCATCCCTTTCCCTTTACTCTGCTGCAAGACTGTTACAAGAGGATACCGATAGGTCAAATGGTAAAGATACATTTACTGAAAAGATATTAGAAACAGGACATGGTTTCAGAAAAGGCTTTGGCTACGGAAATGGGGGAGGTGGAGGAGGAGGAGGAGGAAGTGGTTACTTGGGAATGCACATCTTCAACCCCGCCATCCCTGGTTTTGGTGCACGTTTCCCAGGCTTTCATGTTCCCATTATTTCTTTTGGTAGAGGAGGAGGTCAAGGTTGGGGCAATGGTGGTTTGCCTATAAATGGTCAGGGTTGGGGTAGTGGTGGTTTTGGAGGAGGTGGAAGCGGTCAGGGTTGGGGTAGTGGTGGTTTTGGAGGAAGTGGAAGCGGTCAGGGTTGGGGTGGTGGTGGTGGTTTTGGAGGAAGTGGAATCGGTGAAGGTTGGGGAAGTGGAGGTGGAGGGGCTGGTCAAGGTTGGGGTAGTGGTGGTTTTGGTGAAGGCGGTGGAAGCGGAGGCTGGGGTAGTGGTGGCTTCGGTGAAGGCAGTGGAAGCGGAGGCTGGGGTAGCGGGTCTGGAGGAGGAAGTGGAAGTGGTGAAGGTTGGGGTAGCGGTGGTTTTGGTGAAGGCAGTGGAAGTGGTCAAGGTTGGGGTAGTGGTGGCTATGGAGATGGTGAAGGTTGGGGGAGTGGTGAAGGTGGCTGGGGTGGTGGAGGTGGTGGAGGCGGTGGAGCTGGTGGTTATGGGAGTGGTTATGGAGGAGGCAGTGGTTGGGGCAGTGGAGGTGGCGGCATGGGAGGGTATCCTGGATACGGAGGGGGTGAAGGATGGGGCTGGGGAGGGGGCAGTGGTTGGAAACTTCTTGATGGAGACCATTACACACAAGCTGGGGATGGCTTCTCTCTACAGCCTCCCTACTTTGACAATTTGTTTGATTCTGTTACACCTACAGAGGGGCCACCCATGGGCTTCCAGCATTCAAACAGAAGGAATGAGGACAATTTACATGGTGATTTAGCGCAGAACAGAGATACAGTAGCTCATGCTCCATCATCAGAATAAAGCTTGCAGCTAAGGTGTTTCTTGCTGGTTCAAATCTGGTGTATATGCTCTAGAATTAGCAATTAGCAGCAGAAAACAGCATGCTCTGTTTTTATGATTTATGATTTAAAGCACTAAGCCTCCTATGTTGATACTTGATACGGAGTTGATGAATAAAATAATTTGGTTATGGTAAGGTAGCTTAAAAATAGGTCTCAAATTGTCTGAAAAACTACAATCTTCAGAAAACTCCCCAACTAACATATTATGGCATCGCATATTCGCATGCTAGGCTTCTGGGCCCTGGCTTATGGCCTGTTCACTTCAGCTTAATTTCAGTTCAATTCTACTCCTAATTTCCTTCTCTCATAAAATATTTATTTCAGCTCTATTCAGTTCAGTTCAGCTACAATCAGTCCAGTTCAGCTCAGTTCAGTAAATGTGAACAGACCCTAAGCCAGGGCCCAGAAGCCTAGCAACTTGCTGAGCGATTTGAAGACTATATGTTTTAGTCAAATCTTATGAATATTTAGTTCTTCTAACCTTAATTATCAACTCCCAGATTTTCTTGCATCTTAGATTAAAAATACTTAGCTAGTAAAAAATGTCTAACCAGATCAGAGATTCTCTGTAGTTTACAATTATCTCCCTCGATGACTGGCTCTGTCCCAGTTTGCAGCACTCGACACACAAGTAATACAGTGAAGTTTGTGAGCATGTTTACTTGATCTGCAACATCTTAAGTATTTCCATCAGTTCCTATAGCAGCTGCTTTCATCTAGCATAGTGAATGAAAAAAGATAATCAGTCTAGCACTTTCAAATAGACGAAGCCTGTGTGCAGAAGCCTATGTATCAGTCAAATAAAAAAAAACACAAAAACTTTAACACAGGCACGATCATGAAGCTAAATACTGACAGGGATCAAAACCATTAAAAATGGCAGCCATGTACATTAAAAGCAGAGGAGTTTAGCAGTTTACTGGCTGGATTATTGAGCAGAACTCCCACAAGCTTCTGTTATTCCCTTTGCATCATCAGATAGGACCAAAGATACACCTCCTACCCCCACACTGAAACTTCCTCCTATTGGAATTCGCTGAAATTATAATAATATAACAAGCCTGTTAGATACGATGATACCTAACAGCAAATACTAAACCATCATTAAAGTTATATTAATTTCATCTAACAGAAATACATTACAGATCTAATAACAATTGGTCTTGCTGCGAAAGTTGTACAAGAGGATGTATGAACAAAACATCACAATTAAAATAGGGCAGAGCATATTCTGTTTACTGTACATTTATGCACACAGAAATTACCAAAGACAAAATTGATGAAAAGGCTTCAATTGAAGCCTATATAGATCATATTATTGTATTAGATTTCACTGTACATGAACCATCTTAAGGTGAGCCAAACAGTTGAAGTCTTTACTTCTATCAGACTGATTTCATAGGCTGTGAATGTACAAAAAATTTTACTTAATATATGCAACTGTACAGCCATAGTTCATTGGACTTTCTTGCTCAAATTTCTCAATACGCGGATGGTTCTTCAGCATCTCAATCACACATTCTTTGAGTATTCCAGTGCCCATTCCATGTATGATAAAGAGAAGAGAGTGAGATTCCCTTGCTGCTATAGCCATACTGAGCGTATGAGAAGCTTCCTCCGCCCTCATGCCTCGAAGATCAAGAGTATTCTTTGAAGTCTGTACAGCTGCTCCATAAGATAATTCCTCGTCCTTCTTACCACCTAAATAATTCAATGTCCCAGGCATACGACCCTATATAGACAACAGTAGATAATAAACAAGCTTAAGCAACTGTTTTCACGTCACAACAATAAAAATTTCAATATTTAATACCAACTAGCCTAGATAATCCACAATCCATACTGGATCACTAGATCAGGCAGCTCAATTAAGTAATTGACACCACAGCCAACAGCCCAACACAAACAGAACAATTATTTTCCCTAACTTTTTTTATCTTTGATGTCCTGAAGTATGTGCCAGGTTTATATCAGTAATTTGCAAGAGAAAGACAAATTAAATAGCCACATATATACATAAAGATTGGTAAAAATACTAGAGGGGAAAAATACAAATATAATTAGTGTTTTCCTATTCTTATTCTTTCCTTTCATAAACAACAGAAGTATTATTTAATAAGAATTTTAAAAAAAGGGTATACATGTAACTATATCACATAAAGAAATTGCAAGTATTTTGTATGAAAAATGCACAAGGCCAGCCAAAACAACAACAAAAATAAAAAGCATTAAAAAAAAGTACTAAAAGAAAATAAGAAAAGACAAAAACCATGAAATCTACATAAGGGTCAAAGATGCATGGAAAAAAAATAGATAAATAGCCTCCCTCTTTTTTGCATTCAATTTCAATTCATATAAAACAACATAATTCATATAAAAGAGAAATCTTTATAACTTTCCAATGATATTCAAGAGTTGAGATGGCTAAACATCATAATTGATGCACAATTCCATTTTCGCCTGAAAAGAAGTGCATTCATTTGCTATTCTTTACACAGGATCCATATCGATTCTTTGGTCAAACAGAATATAATACTTGTAAATGTTAGAGTATTTCAGAGAGACAGCAAATGTCATAAGAATGCATAGTACCTGCTTCTTCACAAAAGAGCGTGCGTCAGCTGCAATACCTACAGTTGGTTGGATACCACTTTTATCCACACGGAATCTTACTTTTCCATGCTGGATGAGAACAGTTTCATCATCTTCAGACACCTCAACCACAGAAGCTAGCTTACCTCCTAAACGTTTCACAAGGACCTGCTCACCAGGTTGAGGTGTATGCATAACTTCCAAATCTTCAGAAACCCTATCCAACATAGGACGATGACTTTCTACCAAAGTTCCAATTGTTGATTCAGCCTTTTTCACAAGAGATCCATACTGATCAATATCAGCAATTATTAATTGATTCTCAAACTCCTGGACCACAGCTTCTAACTTTGATTTCACAAGATCGAGTTCTTCTTCAACTTGTTGGGTCTCCTTTGCAATCAGAGCCTTCTCACGCCATTCAAGATCTTGAGTTTCAGCTTCAATCTTCATAAATTCAAGAAAAACATTCAGACAGTAGAATGGAGTTTAAATAAAGTTCCTCTTTTGATTTAGCAGAAAGCACAAAAGACTTTAAGCTTAAATTATGCAAAAAAACAGAAGAAAAAAACAGTAGTTTGTTCACATATTTGACACGAGTACTACATAGAATTTATTAGATTAATGTTTTTTTATTACACTATGGGATTAAGGCTTTGATTTATAGATTGATTTGAAAATTAAACATATAAATTAAAATCCTTTAATGCGCATGTTTTTAGGTTTAGGGAAAAAAACATCTTTTTATTAAAAACTAATACAAAGAATAGAAATTGTTATAGACTGCTAATGGTATGCATCAGATCATCCTCCTCTTGAAATACAGCATGTTTGTCAAAAGCGCTCGTAGTATTATGGAATAACTCTGTGTGGAAAATAAAGTGAAAGAAAATTTGTGTAACAGCAATAATAGTTAGTTTTCAATTGATTTGGTTTGTAAAAGGGGCTTGAATAGATTAATAGTTTAATTGACTATGTTTAATCGTACTCCCTTCATAATTATCCATACTTGTTACCCAGACTCTAACATGTATATGGAACATTTTACTTCATTTTGGACCAAAATGGTATCAAAATTATCCATAAAATCACTAAGTCCAACACTGCCATAAATTTGTTCTCCAATTAATATCGTGCTATTGGTAGGATTGAATTGAAAGATTCAAGTAATTCATTGCAAATCTAGTTCGTTCCGAAGAATGTAGATGCATCCATTTGCCAAAAAGAAATGTTCGAAAGTTACCAGTGGTCAGCAACTTATGCAATATACAAATCATTAGCTATCAAAAGACGACTCATCTACCCACATCATCCAATGATGTTTCGGACCCCAGCACCCAACCCAAATTATATCACCAAATTCAACCAAAAGAGTAAACCCCAGTTAACAGCTTCTGTAGTCTACACATTTAAGCAAATAGGAGTTGGACTTAAGTCACTTAACATATGATTCATAAAAGGTTAACAGAGCTGATCTCAAATTTCTTACCTCATGATAAAGATCCATTACGTCAGAATGAAGGGATGCAGCTAGTCTAGCCCGTTCACCCATCCTATTTCTCTCCTCTAATAAAGACTGATATAGCAGACCTTTTCTCTGTGCCTGCTTTTCTGGCATCAACCTCTCAAGCCAGCTTTCTGCATGATCAATAATCTTATCATCAAAGCCAATTCTCCTAGCAATTCTCAAGGCGTTTGATTCACCAGAAGATCCCCATAAGACCTGAAAGGTAGGCTGTAGAGTGTCCAGTGAAAACTCCATAGCTGCATTCTCAAATCGATCGTCCATGTCCTTTAGGCGGCTTAAATCAGCATAATGGGTGGTTACAACAGCTAAACTCACTCTATCTTTTAGAAACTGTAAGATGCTGGAAGAAAGTGCTACTCCTTCCGAAGGATCAGTCCCACTCCCAATTTCGTCAATTAGGACAAGTGAATCTTTTGAAGCCACCTCCAAAATCTTGCCAATTCGCAAAATGTGGCCACTAAAAGTAGAAAGGCTTTGTTCCAAGGACTTCAATCAGAAAAAGGGGGATAAGGAAGAGTTTAGAATGAATGTAGCAATACTTGTGACAAATCAGCTGACATAGAAGAGAGAAAATCCTACCTGATGATCTCCTATATCTGCCAGAACTAAATCAAACCAAGGAAGCTTGGGAATACTTTTAGCTGGCAAATACAGGCCAGCCTTTGACATTAGGGACACAAGTCCTAGAGTTTTCATGGAAGCAGTTTTCCCACCTGCGTTTGGCCCTGAGATGATCACCACATTGGTTTTATGTCCAATTCTAATGTCTATTGGAACAGGAAGCTTGTACACTTCATCAGGCAGCTCTTTGAAGAATTTTATACCAGCTTCCTCATTTAAGTTCTCTGAATTCCCTGACTTGGGTCCTGATATATCCTTCAAGCTACCCATACATGGTTCAAGTAGCAAGGGATGTCTAATCCCTACAACATCTACCAAGAAAGCATCATCATTAGTAACTGAATATAAAACAGGACATTTTGCATCTAACCAATTAGCATAACCAGCTCTTGCAACTGCAAGATCA